ATTTTATGACAGAAGTATCTGTTTGATAGTTATAGCTATTTAGTACATGCTTATTCTAAAATATATCTATAAGTATGGTTATAATTTCATAATCTCATCGGGGCCTAGCTGTACTAAATCTACCAATGTCCTTTCAAATTGATTCTGTATCTTATTATCTGGTCATTTAACAACTGTAATGAATTTGTACTGCCAAAGTTACCAATGAAATATTAAAACTAAAATGCCACTGGACACATTAAACTGTCCCCCTCCCTAAACATCCCTGAATTAGCTGAACTAGAAACTAAACAGGCTGAATTAAAGAAGTTATGTGGTTTAATTTGGCTAATTGGAATTGGCCATATATGGGGAAGCAGGTCACTTTTGGCAGGTATTAGTATTTGAATGAAAAGATCAGTTTGCAATATATTTCAAGCAGCAACAATAGGGCAGGGCACTTACAAATATAGGAATTATTCATGTTTATTTACTTAATTATAGTATGTATTTTTATTTTTCAAACTGACAATACATGGTCAAAGAAAACAGTTCAAATCATGAAACTTATTTATATTTGACAGTTTTCAATCTGGTTTAAACACATTTTTCTCTAGACAGAAGAAGACTTAAGAATTAACTTGAACTTAATAAACTGACATGCTTCATGAAAGTTACAATATTAATGCATACCTGCAGCTCAAAGTGATACAGTGTATTGTGGTAGCTTTGTCCGATAGACTTTACAGGTCTCCTTGGTCATGAATATTTTAAGAGAAAATCTCTTGGTATAAGTGCAGTGGTGTAAAAATCCACTAGCCTAATGCCCAATTTTCAGCTTGGGCTAATGAAATTTTTAGGGTTACTAGCCCCGGGTTAGTGACTTTTTAAGGATGTCATATAGCAAACAAAAAGGCTTCTGTTCTATTCTATCATAAGGGTAACCAATCAAAATTTTAAACCTGTAAATTCCAGGTAATTTCGATACAATTTCTATCACAACTCATGGAGTCATTCACACCGTGTTGATGATGTTAGACGTTCTGTTGCCTTTCACATGTGTGCTATGTGTGCTATGTGTGATAGTAGGCACTGCTAACAACTTAAATAACATTAAAAGTCTATACTAACCACCAAAATGACCTTCTGTGTTGCAAAACGTTCTCTTTTATTTGACTTAAATAAGAATGTAGGGTACAGAAACAAAGTTCATCTCTGCAAAAGTCGCATGTCCGACTCGTTTGTTTTTGATGCTTTTTTTTGGTTCAAGTTTCAATAAATTTTAAGCCATTCATTTATGAAATTATATATTAAGATTATTTTCATATTTTTTTTTAAGGAAAACATATGGATCCATCTGTTAATGAGATATATAGACCGTGGTATGATCATGTTATCAGCTTGATCCATTTTCTATTTGTCGGGCTAGTAGAATTACATTTCGGGCTAGTGGATCATAAGTGTCTAGCTACTAGCCCTGGGCTAGTCTCCTTAAATTTTATATTACACCCCTGAAGAATAGAAAAAATTTGAAGTATATATACAATGTAAAGAGGCCTATTTGAGTACCATTGTAAAGAGGACCTTTATGACTATATCAGTTATACGTCCTTGCAATACCTCGTCCTGTAGGGTATAATTGAGAAAAAAATTGAAAAACATTTGAGACTTAATGGGTATACTTGTTAGGTTGCCAGGCCTGTTTAGGTATAATGTATAGGTATAATTGTAAAGAGGCTTGTTTTAAGGTATAATTGAGAAGAGGCCTGTTTAGGTATGATTGTAGAGTATCTTCAGGACTTTAAGAGTAGAGAAAGCCTGCCAGGTATATACTTAGTGTAAAGGTATCCTGAGTGTACCTTGAATGTACAGAGACAGGTTTGTTGAGTAAAATTGGAGCTTTTTCCAGGTATAAAAGCAGTGAGAAAGCCTTTGTGGTTTAAATGTATTTATTGGTAATACAGGACCATTTACCTGGTAGCTGTATAGAACTCAAGGACCTTTTGGTTTCAAGTGTAGAAAACACTTTGTGCATATATACACACATGTAAGAGTAATCATAGCTAGAGAAGAACTTTGGGATATAGATATACACAAGAAATTAGGCCTGTGGAGAAAAACCTATACATATATATATATGAGGCAAAATTCAGTATTGGTTCAAATGAGGATACCTCTGTTTTTTCGGATTTTGCCACTTATTTTGAATAAACTTGTGAAATTTCACACTGTCATAGTTTTAAGTATGTTTCAAAGAGATAAAAACAGATAATGTTTGAATAAGTTCCAAAAGCAAAAAAATCCCATACAAATTATCGCATGTTTTTTCACTCCGAATCACAGTGTGTCCATTATTATGAAGAGAATAAGACACTGTAAAGAAAAGATATCAATGCACATACCGGAGTAATAAAATTGTACATACTCGCAAAGGATGAAGAAAAATATTACATTGAAGGAAGTCGTTTTGTTCGTAACTCTTCGTGTCCTTTTCCTGTTCACATTCCGATAAATCTTGTTCATGTTTATAATGATAGTTTCATACGGAACTGTACACTGACTGCATCATAGTCACTAAAACAGAAAGCAGGAGCCATCGTCTGGCTGAAAATTACATCCTGATTGTCGTCCAAATCGTTACGAACAAAACGTGTCTCAAGAAAAGTAACTGGAAAACCTAAAATCTAAATATAGATCGACCTAGATGGCGTCTGCAGTGGGTATTTTCCTGTGGCAGGTTATATACCATGCATACTGGCTTGAATGGCAACCGTGTCCTGTCCAGCGCTGACATGTTACGTCCGTGACAGGATGGATGTACATGTATTTAAAACTTTTAGGTAATTTTCTTGTGGTTTTATGTGACCAGTTAATGTTATCTAACACGAATAACAAGAAAGTGTATGACACTGTTCGTTTGCATTGATATTTTTAAATGACATCTGCTTTTGATGTCTCCTGGCGATAAATTTGTGATAGTCGTAATGAAGACGACATTTTTACATGGTGTCTTTCATTACCGAACAAATGTTATCTTACCACATGGTGATCACCATGATTTGCGATCTAAATCTGTCAAAATTTCTTTTTTTTTGTGAATTGATGAAACCTGTGGCATGCCTTTTAAGCACATTAAAAAACTGGGTACCTATAAAAAACAGCTGTGTTACGCTCGTAACAAGACTCACACTTTCTCTTGGTTTTGATAAGAACAAATATTAAAGATGGTCCATACCCTCATCGAATTAAGTTCACTTCAACCCTTTTATGTATACTGCATGGCTGTGAGGATTAATTTATAATCTTAGCCACCTCAATTGCAACTGAAATCTGTTTGAGGTAATCGGAAATATAAGTCGTGTTTTGACTTGGTGTCCGTGTTACGTATGCAACATATCCCAAAATGTATCAAATGTCCCTTGGCTTTTACCTAACTCTAAGGTATATAACTTTTATGCAATTAACTTTCATAACTGCAAAAAAACATGACTTTCTTTGTTAATATGTGATATCAAATATGTGTATTCTTTTACGCAGTAGTTTCGTTGGTAACGGTGTCCTTGTTGAAGTCTAGCATTTTTATCTCAAAGTAAAAAGCAGTACAAAGATCTCCATTTGTGAGAAAACTTTATTATTTTTTTAACCAGCAGAATAACTTAATTACTGAACAATTCACCGGACAAAGAAATACAATTTCAGCATATAAAGGACACCATGATAGAAATCATTATGTTCTCCACCTTTTTATTTTTTAAACGTTGATGTCATAACCTTCACGAAATGCTTAATATAACACAAAAAACACATTCTGAAAATTTGATGTGGAAGTCACACTTTATGGACCAATACTGAAATTTGCCTCATATACAAAATTTATATTGTATTTGAAGTTAGGAGGTGTAAGAAGTTCTTACTAACATATATGATTATATTTTAATTGACCTAAGTATTATAGTTATTTCATTTTACATTAAGGAATTATAATTAATCATGTTGCAAGGAAAGATCATGCTGATCTTGAAAGGCTTAAAAATTCTAAAGATAAAATTCAAGTGATGAAATTGTCCTATACAGATGTAAGTTTAGATCAGGAATGTTTCCAACTAACTCCAATCAATGTACAGGGAATACATAAAATGTGTGAAATGGGAGATAACTCTTCTTATCCAGTACCATATTATCAGCTGTGAACTACTGTACTTTGTATGCATAAATTGTACATGATAACGTAATGAAAACAAAACTGCAGTGGCTATGCTTTCTTCAAGGATTTAATGGGTCATATTTCGGAAATTGTACTTACTTTGAGTTACTTCCATTGTATTTTTGTGATTGATAGTTATAAGCACGGAATTAGATTAGCTATCTATATTCATGTTATAAGTGATCCATTAAAAAATATTTTCATGTAATTTACATTGAAGTGATCAAAACAAATTAGGGTGTGATCAATGACGTGGGAACTCGGGAGTATGATTGATTGGCATTTTGTATATAAACAGCTTGTATTAAATTAGGTTAAAATGTTCCAAATGTAACAGTTCAAGAATATGATTGTTGAGGCTAACTATTTCAAAAAAACATATTTGTTTTTAGTAGCTGTCAATCTAAAGGGTTATGACCTTGTAGCAGACACTAAAAGCTGTGTAAGTGACAGTAAAATTACATGTTACAGACCTGCAATACACATCGCAGCTAGTGTTTATGTGTGTACACACACACAAAACCAGTCAACTCTCATAAGCCTTGTTAGCTTGATTCAAATTTATGATAAAAATATACAGTCTATATGTTTTCAACCAGTTACATTTCTAATAGTTTGATTATAAGAATATAATGATAATTTTGTGTTACATTCTGATCACATTTACAAAAAGAGTTGTGATCAAATGTAACTGAGAATTGAAGTTTTTTTTTGTGTATATGCCTTTATTGAATCAAACTGACGAAACTTCACACCTGTGGAGACTTATGATGGAGACCAGGTAATCAGACCTCATACCTGTACACCAATAGACTCACCTGTCTGCTCGGTGTTTACCTACACATTGTTTACTTCGACTCAAATGGACGTAAAGGGAACATGACATATCAGGATGGGTAGAGTTTTGTGAAGTAGGAACTCTACAGTTTGATGATAAAGATCATTAGTCATCAATACCTGGAAGGTTGTTGGACAACTGTTACATTTCTTCGTTAGGATTGGTACACATATTGATAAGGGGACGTCAGGTGTAGTTGGGTATTTCTGTATACCTTTAAGGACATGGAACATTTTAACTTCTGCACCTGGAAACGCAACAATGTAACATATACATACAATGTAAACTACAGGTTTGAATTGCTTTGTGGTGACTATTGAAAATGTAGGAGATTTGTTTCATGGTTGATAAGTTACTTGTAGTTATTATCAATGAGCCCTGTGATGAATCATTGCTGCTTTTAACTTCAGTATTTTTATTTCATGTTTTGAGGACCCGTACATTATAATTAACAACTGACACGTACAGCTTTAGAAACAGATCTGAAGAACATGTTTAAGCTATATCTATAGCAGAAACTATGATTGTGGTAAGAAATAGAGAACAAAGGAAAAACAGATGGTAGATTATTACAAAATGTTGTTTATGCTATAGGTCATAAGATAGTGAGTCTAGTATTTTAACACTTACATATGAAATACATGTGGTAAATAAAAATGTATATGTGTATACATAGCTGTCAAGGTTGACGGGCACCACACTGTATAGATCATTATATACAGGTTCTCGTGCAGTCCTGTAAAGTCCACAATTAACCTCTTTCACGAAAGCTGTGGTCTATGATACAAGCACTCTGTGACATAGAATATCTAACAGAGCCGGCCAGGCTGGTCAGACTGTAGAAACATTAATATGATGAGTCGATCAGTGAAACAGTGTTCATGTTAATATTACGAAATTTTCTGAGCAGTTAAACTGATATGCATGAATGAAATTATTTGAAAGATATATCTTTCAAATATATATATATATAGGCAGCTAGACGTGCATGTCTCTGATTATACATGTAAATACCAATTATATACAGGCAGTCTGTATATAGCACGGAGAAGCTGATTACGACAGATTAAGGAATTTTAGTGCTGATGTAACACACACTAAGTAACTGTTGACATTATATTGTATCTTTTATTTCTGGCGCAACATCGGTCAAAATAGACCTTCATGTATCACGATCGCCGGATGGAATACTTGGAATCTGGAAGTATTTAATACTAGTCGTGATACTTCTTAACAAGTTCATAATCACCAGTTACGGAAGGATTGAGAACCACTCTGTGATGTTTATCAGCTGACAATATACACATCAATATATAGTTTCTAAAAAATAAAGTGTATACAAAGAGCTGTGCATTATGAGGCTAATTAACATCAGACTTCATTGACCTCAGTTTTATACTAGCTGTGTATATATATATACGTAGTAAAATATAAAGTGAACAACATGACTCGCTCAAATAAACGGAAACTTGAGCAGGAAAAAGCATCAGAGGAAAAGTTACTGGAATATGATCAGCACAAGCAAACATCTTCTGGGGTAGTTAAAACAAAAACTCGGTTTAAAATGGAGGACAAGGAGAGTAAGGATGAAAACGATGGAGTATTGGAAGCGTCCAAAACTCTTGAACACTATGGTAGGTTAACTAAACTAGGGGAAATGCGTTTTTAAGTTTAATATACAGTCAACTGTTCCTTTCTGAAAGCTGATTTTCAAATCAATGTTGTATGTGTATAAAGTTATCACGGAAGGCTATAGATCTACAGTTGTCTGAATATGCATTTATGATTTAATCGGATGCTGCATCATTATGGAGATTTATTTAAGGAACATATTAATTGCTACATAATTTAAGACATTTTGAAATTTTTTCATTGGATCTATTTATAATGAAATGGTTTGTCTTAATGTTTTCCAATACAGTTAAAAGATTTATGAGGGAATACATGTATTTGGTATAGATTTATTTGGGCACATATTATGGTATAACTTTATCCATTTCACATTATTTTGGTATAATTTAGTAAACTACCTGTTGTTTTACTTCTGTTCAGATACTCACAGTAGTATATAGTGTTCGGGAGGGCCTCAAATAAAAAAGTAAATATATTTATATGTTGCAACTGATCTGTGTCTTTCTAGAGCTACATACTATTAAGTGTCATAGTGTTAGCAACATTATAGTTAATGTTATTAATCTGTGAGGTCTATTATCTGAACAGTCTGTATGTATTAATCTCTGCAGTATTAGTTTTTAAATTGATCAAAATCTGAAAACCTCATAAACCAACCTTATCTGAGCATGAGTAAATTTGCTCTTTTCAAGAAATAACCTTTCAAAGTTTCTAAGATACAGTGTAGTAAGAAGATTAAAAGGTCATTCAATTAGATTTGAATATTTGAAATATCATTCCTTAATTTTAGAAACATGATTATTTTAGGTATCTAGTCCTGTGTCATGATTTACCCATAAAGAGTGATAATTCCATGGATGTGGCGTCATGGTTTACCCAGAGTGTAATATAATGGTTTACACATGCAATGATGTATATATTTACTTTGATTGTGGTGTTATGGTTTACCCAGATTGTTGTGTTTTAATGGTTTACCTAGATTATGGTGTCATGGTTTACCTACATTGTTGTGTTATGGTTTACCCAGATTGTTGTGTTTTAATGGTTTACCAAGATTGTTTTGCCAGAGTTTACCTAGATTTTGGTGCCATTGTTTACCTAGATTGTTGTGTTTTAATGGTTTACCTAGATTGTGGTGTTATGATTTACCCAGATTGTGGTGTTATGGTTTACCCAGATTGTTGTGTTATGGTTTACCCAGATTGTTGTGCCAGAGTTTACCTAGATTTTGGTGCCATGGTTTACCTAGATTGTGGTGTCATGGTTTACCTAGATTGTTGTATTATTGTTTACCTAGATTGTTGTGTTTTAATGGTTTACCTAGATTGTGGTGCCAGGGTTTACCTAGATTGTTGTGTTATGGTTTACCTAGATTGTTGTATTATTGTTTACCTAGATTGTTGTGTTTTAATGGTTTACCTAGATTGTGGTGTCATGGTTTACCTAGATTGTGGTGCCATGGTTTACCTAGATTGTTGTGATTTAATGGTTTACTCAGATTGTGGTGCCAGAGTTTACCAGTAGATTGTGGTGCCATGGTTTACCTAGATTTTGGTGCCATTGTTTGCCTAGATTGTGGTGTTTTAATGGTTTACCCAGATTGTGGTGTCATGGTTTACCTAGATGGTGGTGCCAGAGTTTACCCAGATTGTGGTGCCAGAGTTTACCCAGATTGTGGTGTCATGGTTTAACTAGATTGTTGTGTGATGGTTTACCTATGTTGTTGTGCCATGACTGACCTAGATTGTTGTGCCAGAGTTTACCTAGATTGTGTTGTGATGGTTTACCTAGATTGTGTTTTGTGTTGTCATGTAAATAAAAAGTTGGTTTGATGAAATGAAAGCAAAAAACTGCATTAATGGAAAAACAAAGGGAAAAATGGCTGAAATAGAATTTGTATTATGGTCACCCTATTTCAAAATGTTTTAAACATAAACATCAACATAAATTGTACTGGAGTGAAACTTGCCCTTTCTGACCCCTTGGTGTTTGTGCATCTTTTGAAATGCAAGTCTGTTTAACTCCAATCACCTTATAAGACATTTGTTTTTTGTAATTTTACCTACGCTCATATAATGAGTTTGGCAGAGATATACCTAAAATTTGCCTCACAGGTACCTAAAATGTACCTCGTTTGTGGTACTTTTTAGGCATATCCTAAACGTGCCTCAAATATATTTATATATAAAATCAAAAGTAAGAATCTTGTGCAAACATATTTCATTATGTTACAATTACTGATTTCATGTTGAAACATAAATTTGGTAAATTTCAAGTAAATAGAAAATAAATCAAATTCATTAAATATCTTAGTTCAATTTTTGTCTGGACTACTTTATATATATATATCGTTTTAACATGAAACTGACATATTCTCTATCAAGTGCTTTATTTTTGTTATATAATTTATAAAAGACTATGAAAGTTTATTATGGGACATATTTGTCCAACTGAAGTCAGCAAGCACTGGTTCTGTCCTCATTAAGGTTCTGAGGGTGGCAGACAGCCTACAGTTACAATCTTCTGGATATTCAGGAGGGTTATACATGTACTGGAGAAAAAAAAATGATCAAATGATATAGTGTGGTGATTTACCTAGAATGTGTATTTGAATAGTAGATGGTTAAACAAATTGCACAAATTTTTAGACAAATTTCACACCACCTTTCTATCTGTTTTAGGTACACCATTGACGTATGATCCAACTTTCAATGGACCCATCAAGAACAGGTAATTAAATCCATATCAGCTGCATTATATTGAGTATATTGTAATATCGAGGAATCTATAGAAACACATATATAGGAAATTTGCATAAAATAAATATACATAAATAATAAATCAATAGATATTATATGCAGTAATGTAAGATATCATCTCTGAAATTTGTCATGATGGACGAGTCAGTGTTGGCTGATGTGTAAAATGTCTAAAACCAACCATGCATAATCTAGAGACCTGCATCATTATTAGGTCAACTGGCCCAAAGAGCAAAGTGAGCTTATATTATGACATGGTGCATGCAGCATCCTGTGTCCACTATATGTGCCAAATTGTTACTTAAAAATATATATCTTCTGAATAACCAAAAGGTTTATGGTAATGATATTTGACTATAAACATGTGAGAATGAAGGATGAAAAGTTTGTTCTAAAGAATAACCTTGACCCACTTTCAAGGTCACATCATTGTCATATGTGTAAAAAAAAAGTTAAACAGCTTTGTTTTATTAACAAATAGACATAGGATAATGAAATTTGGCCAGTTGCATGTTTGAGTGAAGGGCTGTCAATGAATGACCTTGACACTTAAATCCAAGGTTCAAATGTTTTAAAACATTTAAACTGCATCTTTTAAATAACCAAGGTGCCTAGAGTGATGATATTTTGCAAGAAGCATGCTAGGATTAAGGGCTATTTATTTTGCTAAAAAAATGACCTTGACCTCCTTCCAAGGTCACAAGGGTCAAATCTTTTAGAAAGTTTAATCAACTTCTGATGAATAACCAAGATGCCTTGGGTGATGATATTATGATGAAATATGCATGGAAAAGGGCTATCAAGTTTGTTAAAATGAATGTCCTTGAGCAACTTTCAAGGTCACAGTGGTTAAATTGGTCAACACCTTTCAACACCCTTTCCTGTTCAACAACTAACAGGCCTTAGATGTGACATGCAACTTCATGGTGTAAAGGGATTTGAAGTTTGGTATCTGAAAGAATGACTTAGACCAACCTACTACAAAGGTCAAATTATTGAAATAACTTCAAATCTTTAACCATTGATTCCTGAAATTGTTCAACAAAGACCCAATAATATGCAAAATTATGGTATTTAGCTGTTTTGAATAAATTGGACATTGACTACTTATTAACTGTGCAGATCATAAATATGAAATGAAGGACATGTGAACAATACAGGTCCATTGTGTAGATTGATAATATGCAGGGCATGCAGGGCATGCAGATTATCATTTTTCATCCATGTCCGAAATTCACTTACCTGTGTTACCAATCCATTGATGTTTTACAATGGTTATGTTATGAAAGAAAATTCTGTCCTAGCTAGTAATGTTCAGTTCAGAAAAGGGTTAACATTATTTAAGTAAAATTTATGTATTCTAGATCCTGCACTGACATTATATGCTGTCTACTATTCCTTATATTCATTGGAGGATTTGCTGGAGTATCTTACTTAGGTAAGTATCATCAAAATGTAGTTTATCGATGGCTGCAGCTTCCAGACGTTAAATCACTGTTCCTCGACCAAGTTTTATAATATTATATTATGTTGACAAGTCAAGTGGACTGCGAGCCTGGTCCATTAATGGAGTTACAGACTCTCGCTGCAGACTTGGTGGCTGGGTCAAGTGGTACATTGACTGTCTCCACACTGCTTTGTAGAGTTGGCAAATAGGCAAGTCACTTAATTAAGCTTACATGTTCCTCCACAAATAGTAAGGTTATTGGTCTAGAAGTTGGATCTCCACTTCTCCTAAAAGACTGGGGGAGGCTTGGTCCAGTGGTCAGGTCATTCCATGAATTCACACAGGCATGGATGCTTAAATGGTTTCAGTGACTATATTGTACAATAGGCATTATTAATCCCCCTGTGGTACAAATGGAAGGGACAATAGACCTGCCAATGTTTCAGCAAATGGTCTGCTACTGTCTTAGCTTGCATTGCATTTGCTGACATTTACTTTAATGTGTGGCAGGCCTTTTTGTTATTTTGTCAGCAATTAAGCAATAGTATAACTGCTGTTAAGATCACTACATTATTAGCTCAGCTGCCCGAAAGGCAAGTGAGCTGATGCCGTCCGTCGTCAACTTTTCCATTAAAACAACTTCTTCTCAATAACCAAAAGGCCCAGGGTACTCATTTTGGGCAAGTAGCATGCTGGGATGAAGGGCTACCAAGTTTGTTCAAATGAATGACATTGACCCACTTTCAAGGTCACAGAGGTCAAATGTCTTAATATCTTCCAACAACTTCTTCTCAATAACCAACAGGGCCAGGGCACTGATATTGGGCCTGTAGCATGCTTGGATAAAGGGCTACCAAGTTTGTTCAAATGAATGACCTTGACCCACTTTCAAGGTCACAGGGGTCGAATGTGTTAAAATCTTAAAAACAACTTAATCTCAATAACCAAAAGGCCCAGGGTACTGATATTGGGCTGTAGCATGCTGGGATGAAGGGCTACCAAGTTTGTTCAAATAAATGACCTTCATCTATTTTCAAGGTCACAGCGGTCAATAATGTTTATACCTTTAAAAAACTTCTCCTGAATAACCAAGAGGGCTAGGGTGATAATATTGGCCAGTAACATGTTGGGTTGAAGGGCTAACAAGTTTGTTCAAATGAATGACCTTGACATATATATTCAAGGTCACAGGGGTCAAATATGTTTAAATCTTTAAATGATTTGTTCTTTATAACCAAAAGGTCCAGGGTAATGATAGTTTGATAGAAGCATGCTGGTTTGGAAGACTTTAAACTCTGTTCAACCTTATGTCCTTATTCGACATTCAAGGTCACAGGCGTCATATATTTAAATCTTTTAATAGGTTCTTATAAATGAAACACTGATATTCTGCCTGTAGCAGTATTTTAGTCCACTTTTAAGATTGCAAATGTGAGATTAATACTAGGTGAGCGATTCAGGCCCATTGGGCCTCTTGTATATAGATTGTAAGAGAGTACTTAAACTTTTTTCATGCCTTTGACTTCATTTTCTGAAGATTTTGGAACAGATGATTGTGGTGTCGCTAGGTTTGTAATAGTGGTCACCTAACAAAATCTTAGTTCAGTAACACAACAAGTATTACAACCAGTTTCTGCCTAGACACTTGACTGCTACATGATAGAGACTTAATTATGAAGATGTTTTGAAATATTTTATTTTGGAATTGATGAATATTTTTTTTTTTGGGGTTGGGGATTTCCAAATACAGTAGTTCCCTGAGCAAGGATGGACCAGAAAAGCCGATATTATGCAGACTATATATAATCTTTTTAACATCCACAGCATTCTCAAATGGAGATCCCTATCTACTGCTTTACCCAGAGGATTCTAATGGAGACTTGTGTGGATACGGCAAAAACAAGTAAGGCTGCAGCAAATATTGTCTTCTGATCGTCGTGTGTTTTCATCTCTCCTGTTAGCTACATTAGTAATTACTATGTGTACTGATCCTTGAGGTCACAAGGTCAAGTTTGATTCATCAAGGCATAGGTTTGTAAAAGTCATTGCTTTTTAGCACATTTTCTTAATGTATATTTTGTGAAGACAGATCATTGATGAACTGTTATACACGAATTGGTGACATTATTTGTACTCAACATCAATCACGAATGATGATGATCAGCCCATAATATGACATTGCTTTTCATTAAAAAAAACAATGTGTATAAATTTGAAAAATATATAATTGTCCTTATATTTTGTTTTGAGCATCTGAACAAAGCTGAATTACTTACTGCCATTTAAATATGTTTTTGTCTGTCATTTATAGACATTTACAATTTTTCATTTATTCTTAAGAATCCTTAGGAACAGGGTATTTGACCTATAGCTAACTTCAGATGGTGGGCTATTAAATGTGGTCAAATAAAATATGTTGACCTTCATGTAATGTCAAAAGAGTATGCTTGCCTCTTCTCAATAACCATAAAGGCTAGGGTCATTTTTTGAAGAATTTTGGAGCCTATTCTGTAAGCTTTGAATGGGATGAATCTTTGATGAAAGCTGCAAGGTGCCAACATTTTCTTATGTTAAGGCAGTTAACATGAAGTGAAATATGTGATCTACTTCCAGGGGGAAAGACTACCTGTTTTTCTTTGACCTCGTTCAGTGTGGAAGGATGGGTGTGGGTATCTTCGTATCAGGGTGTCCAACTCCACAGGTAAGTATTAAAACAGGATAGGTTGTCATGCTTGGGATATTCAGAATGAATAAGGAGAATCGTCATTGAAATCTTTTTTTAAAGAATCAGATATTGGAAAAATTAAACATTTAATGAAACATTTCGGAATTATTGTTGTTGTTTTTTTCACAAAATGAAGATATTTAAAGTAAATTAAGTCATTTTTTTGTTATATAAGTCCAACATGAACACTATGTGCAAGAATCCCTCTGATATCCCTGAGGAAAATTGTAAAGCAAATGCATGTATAAAAAAATGACATATTTGTTAACCTATTGTAGGTGTGTGTATCGTCATGTCCCGACACAAACTATGCCTATATCACTGATGCTGCTTCAAGTGCTGACCTGCAGTACTGTAAGACTGGATACGACCAATCTGTGAGTGTTTGGCTTTATCAGATTTTATCTCGTATGTGAAGCATTTTCTGAAGTGATTTTAGACAATTTTATAAGATTATTCATTAGTAAATTGATGATAGATGTTCACTAAATCATTGTTTTCATTATATGCCTATCTTCATTATGATGATAAGCACACCAGCTATACTGTTCTTTTAAAAACTTTACAATGTAGAAGTACTTGGTACTGTGTTGCACCTACATTTTTTGGTCATTTTGTCGCATGTAAAGAGAAAGCAAGCCGATGTATTCAGACCCTCCAATCTGATGTTTTCCACTCCTTAACTTCACAAATGATATCCATCTGTTTCCACCAAACCTCAAGAGAGTGAAGTAGCTGGTAAGAGGAAGGCACACCTACTCATTTTAAGGCCATTTGGTCAAAGGTCAAGGTACTGTCCCCCACTGGTTCCCGGGGGGGTCCGAGAAGTTTGTCTGGGACATATATCTTCTTTATCACATAATGTACTGTGTCATTCAATGAAAACACCCATGCCATATTTTTTGCGTATTAACCCATGTTATATGACCTATCAGCCCTGTGATTGGTTGTAAGTTTCAATTGTGACATCACGCCTAGGACAAGTACATGACGTCACCGACTTACGCACTGGAGTCAAAATGGCGGCTTTTTACATTTCAATGTTGCATGAAAATTGTTGTTTTACACGCATAAATGTCACAAATCTTGATTATGTGATAAAAAGGTTCTTACACTGGTTTTCATTTCATATGAAATTTATGAAACTCGTCACAAATTTTTCATTTTAGCTCGCCAGAGGCTTGGTCAATTGAAAAATTCTTGTTTCATAAATCTCATATAAAATGGAAACTCATGTAAGATCCTATATATATACTATTTCACCTGGTGTAGCCAGATTTAATGTACAAGGACATCTTGGTATGGTGGAGTGCAAAGTGCAAGAAGAAGGTCACTATGGCCTCACTGTGACCTATGCTTGGACCTTAAATCTTAACTTTTGAAAAAGTTTGTCCGAGGCATATCTTCTATACTATTTCACCTGGAGTAACCATCTCACATATTTGGTGTAAAAGGACATTTTAGAGTGCAAGAAGTAGGTCACTATGACCTCATTTGACCTAAGCTTCCTGACATAGGTGTAGTGTTTGTTAAATATGTAAATCATTACTCGTGGGGGACTACAGATGCCTTGCAATACTTTGCCTTGTTCATGATACTATATTCATTTATTGACTATGACTACTTGAAAGTACAATCTATACAAGATTAAAATAAGAAGAGAATTATATGTAGTAGTCATCGTGTTTTTTTCTGATATTGAGAGACTGATTTTTCTTTAGCTATCCAGGCTAGCTCTGGTGGAGGGCGACCAATGTCCTGCCTACTTCCTGGAGAGTTCTCCTCGTAAGTATGGTCAACTTATCTGCTATTAAACAAAATTTTGGAATGTCTTACCGGTGTAACACCGGTGTAGTATGGTAATATGAAGGTCATGGTGAAATGAACTGCACTTTTATATTAATTACCATTATGGTAATAGGAACTGCCCCATGGTGAAATGAAGGCTACCATCAATTTCTCTTCTGACAAACTTTTTTCCATTCATTTTCTTTAAGTTTACTTCAATTCTAAATCTTCTGTTTACCTCTCATTTAAAATGTCTTTAAGAACAGAAAGTCCTGTTTGTTTTGAAGAGTCAAAAATTGGAACATAACATTTTTTTTTGCTTTATTGTCATGAACACATTGATTTTGTTTATTGGGAGAGTAAACAATGATAATAATACCAATATATATATAGAGAGAGTTAATGTGTGTTAATTATGTCTCCCCTTCGAATGAAGGGAGACATATTGTACTAAGTACTGGTTTCCTCTTCTGGTTCTTCTTATAATCTAACCGGACCTGTCCGGGCCATAACTTTTAAACCGTTAAAGATATCTTGATGAAACTTTAGGTATACATGCATCACCCACAGGAGGTGTGCAGTGCACTGGAATTAGTTCACTGTGAGCTTCACCTCAAGGTCAAAGGTCAAATAATTGCACATTTTCAGTAAATTCTTGTCCGGCCCGTAAATTTCAAATCGTTAAAAATATCTTAATCAAACTTGAAATATACCTGCATCACCCACAGAAGGTGTTTAGTTCACTGGAACTTGGTCTCGTGCCCCACTATATACAGAGTTATGGCCCTTTGTTTAACTGTAATACAGAAGTTTGTCCAGAGCATAAGTTTTATGTTATTATACCTACATTGACCATACTTACCATATTTGTGTATCTTGGGAAGGCGGAATTTCTCACTCTATAATCAGATTTTAGGCCCCCCACTATATACAGAGTTATGGCCCTTTGTTTATTTTTACTACCGAAGTTTGTCCAGGGCATAACTTCCATGTTATTAGGGACCCGCATCTTTGATGCGGGTGCCCTATACTAATTCATCTGTCTGTCCGTCCATCCATCACAATCAAACAAGGTATCAACTGACCAAAGGTCAAGGTCACTGGGTCAAAGGTCAAATTTTGTATCTTTTCCTGATGAACATTTTGTTATGACATTATGAAGCAAAGTTGGTTGGAATTTAACAAAGAGTCAACTGACTTAAGGTCAAGGTCACTGGGTCAAAGGTTAAGGTCAAATTCAGTATATTTTCACTGGGGAACATTTTGTTATGACACTTTGAAGCAAAGTAGGTCGGAATTAAACAAGAAGTCAGTTGACCAAAGTTCAAGGTCACTGGGTCAAAGGTCAAGGTAAATTTTGTATCTTTTCACTGGTGAACATTTCGTTTTGACACTTTGAAGCAATGTTGGTCATAATTAAACAAGGAGTCAATTGACCAAAGGTCAAAGTCACTGGGTCAAAGATCAAGGTCAAATTTTGTATTTTTTCACTGATGAACATTTTGTTAGGACATTATGAAGCAAAGATGGTTGGAATTTAACAAAGAGTCAACTGACTTAAGGTCAAGGTCACTTGGTCAATTTCAAGATCAAATATTGTATCTTTTCACTGGTCAACTTTTCGTTTTGACACTTTGAAGCAATGTTGGTCAGAATTAAACAAGGAGTCAATTGACCAAATGTCAAGGTTACCGGGTCAAAGGTCAAGGTCAAATTTTGTATATTTTCCCTGATCAACATTTTGTTATGATACTTTGAAGCAATGTTGGTCGAAATTAAACACTGAGTCAACTGTCCGAAGGTCTTGGTTACGGGTTCCAAAGGTTCAAGGTCAAGTTTTGTATTTTTCACTGATGAACATTTTGTTATGACATTATGAAGCAAAGTTGGTTGGAATTTAACAAAGAGTCAACTGACTTACGGTCAAGGTCACTGGGTCAAAGGTCAAATTTTGTATCTTTTCCTGATGAACATTTTGTTATGATCTTATGAAGCTAAGTTGGTCGAAATTGAAGAATGAGTCAACTGACCAAAGATCAGGTTTACTGGGTTAAAGGTCAAGGTCATTTGGGTCCAAAGGTCAAAGACAAAATGGATCTCTTACTATGTCCCTGGCTCTTGATGTGGGAGGTATTTAAGGGGAAATCAAACAAATCAAAGCCAACAAATGAGAATTGCACCGGGAGTTACATTTCTCTTAGCCCCGCCAATATGGAAGTGGAAGGAAACAAGACTCACATCATAGTACATGTAAATGTATATTTTGCTTCCTTGCGATTCTTTTTGAAGTCCAAATGTCAAACGACAAGCTCAGCTATATTGGCAGATTGCTTCTTGATGATTAGGGGGGATATATTGCCACAAGATGGGACCCTTATTGACCTTTCAGTGTTCTAGTTTCACCTATGTTGCCCAAACTTGCTAAAGTTTTAATGTATCTTGGGAAGTAGAAGTGTTGAATTCCAGATTCGGGTCTCATGCCCCACTATATAAAGCAATATGGTCCTTTGTTAATTTTTTATACCAGAGTTTTTCTATTGGCTAATGAGGGGAGACATGTTTTTGTTCACAAAAACAAAATTCTAGTTTGTATTATGCTCACTACAGAAGCTTCCTCCCATACAAGTGTTGGTGTTTTCATGATAAATGATCTATGTTCGTTTGAGAAGGTCGAATTAGAACATAAATGTAGTTAATGTGTGTTTATTTTCTTATTGTTTGATCTGTGTCGTAATTTGACAAATATGATTTATGTCTTTTCCACAAAGACAGGTTTTGTTAAAGTACATATTTGTAGATATTTGTGTCAGATATAATACACATTGGGTATCAGTTAAAAATACCTGATGTATGATTTCTTATTTGACAAATATGTTTTGTGTCTTTTCCACAAAGACAACTATTGTAAGTACATTATAATCTGTAAATTATTGTGTCGCTTACACATATTTTGTTTTCAATTTATGTCCACAATTTGAATCAAAATATATGAGTTTGTTACTTTGTGATCAGTGTGAAGTATCAACTTATTTACAGCGCAATTTGTTGAATCATTCTTGTGTTTATTTAATTGAAATTATCAGTTTATTTAAGCACAGTGCTTTTAATGTTGTGTCACTATAAATGGAAAGGAAGGGTTCTTCGATATTCAACAAATATATTTCTAAACTGTCATGTATATTCAGAGATTGTGAAAATACGAACACTTTATTACATATATATGCTGATCAAAGTAATCATATCAAATACATATATGTATTGGTATTATCTTAATCACATAGATATGAACAGCTATTCTGTTTAATCCAGCATAATGAAAAAAAATATAGACCATCCACAATAAAATGTTTAACGAAAACAATTACAGACCCTCCTCAATATAATGTTTAACATTGACAAGAAATATGAAAAATGAACTCGGACAGAAATTATTTGTTGGATTAATCAAATAATTTTCTACATGTAGTAATTTAAAATTCTGTTTAAACACCCTGCTCTGTTAAGATGCCCATTATTTTCATACACATAAAGAGAATGAACACTGTTTTTAGACATGCTGGTTTTATTTTATTTTTTGTCAACAAAATATTATTCTTGCAGTATGCTTTAAATTGCATTTGCTATTGATGAAGGGTAAAAGATATGAAAAGATTCAGACTGATAGTACATTGTACAATGACGTTATTGTGATTTTGAAATTGTTAATGTCAAAATAAAAAAATACTTTTTGCTTGAAAAAATGAAGATTAAGTGGATCAAACAGGCTGTCACAGTGACCCGTTTCTGGACCGCTGAGATAACACGCCGCTGGAGACTCTAGAAGGAAATAAAATACTTATACAATAGAGATCCTATCTGATGAGACTGATCAGATTAATTTTATAATAGCATTTTTGTAAACTGTCAAACTCCACATTAATATATACAGGTACCAGTTATATCACCTTTAATGTACCATAGATACTATTGAGGTACATGTAGTTATATGGGTATATACTAATATCCTATATTGTGGTAGTATATGAGTATATTTAAAACTGCTAACTATTTTCATTGTGAAGTGGTACATTGTACTGTATATCTGATTTATTGATTAGATTTTTAGTTTGAATTCTCTCACAGTTCGGTTTAACACTTAGTATAATGGTTCGAAGTTTGAATTCTCTCACAGTTCAGTTTAACACTTAGTATAATATGGTTCGACATTCACATACACTGACACAATCACTTTATACTGAATGGTTCGACAAAATACTGAAAAACACATGTATATGTTTTTTTTATCTTGTTCATCATTTCTCAGTTTTCAGAAATTATGTAATTTAAAATGCATCATGCTCTTTTAATCATTACAGTTTTAAGTGGTTCTTCCTTTATTGCAGACATATCATTTCAGACAGATACCCGGACAGTCACTGATAGAATAGTTTGCTTTATAGTATCAGTGTTTTGTTTGTTATATGCTACACCTATCTAGTGTCACATTTATTCATCTCTAGAAGTTGATTTACAATTTGAAAACAATTATCACTTTTTGGATGTGAGGGCTAGTGTATCAACTAATCAAGTTTAAAATGAAAGAATTAAAAGGAAGTGAATTGCTGTCACAGTTTGATAAGTCATGAACATTTTTGTTTGTCTCATGTGTATATCTTGATGATGCATTAGGTTTTCCAACAAACTATTTAAATCATTATAAATATGTCAATAAATTCTGCATCATTTTTTGTCAATACCAAAGGTTATCAAAGTAAAAAAATTGTGTTATGGTCATTGATTTCCAAGTTATTGCTTAAATAAATGAATGTATTTTATTTTATAGTTGATATTCCAGCTTCTTGATTCAACCTTGAATTTTCGGTTTGGTGGCCCTCAAATGAAGATTTCGCTGCAATGATTAATAATGAAGAAAAAATGAAATTTAATGTTAAGTTGAGTAATAAATATATTTTTCTAAACAAAACAAATACTTTAATGTATACAATTTTGTACAGTCATCAACAGGTGCGTTCCGCAAGTCCTGGTTGATTTCCTGGATGTGGGAGGCAGCCTCCTTTCCAACGTGCAGTCAAGTAGCATTGCTTCTAAAAATGTAACAGACTCTAACAACAATGCCATCTCGATTGAGTCCCTGGCCGAAAACCTTGAGTATGTTAATATTCCATGCATTTGTTAATGGCGATTCATACTGATCAAGGGAGACAATCTATTTTGGGGTTTTTGGAGGAATTTTTTACCATAGTATTTAGAGGTTTTATTAATTCATAAACTTTTGATGTTAACCATGTTTTGTTTGAGCAGTAATTATGAAAGAAAGAAAAAGAAAGAAATTGGCAAATAAAATGAGAATATTTATCGGGGTTAGGAGATCTGTCTACATGTATGGAAAATTCTCATCTTAAAAATATTTAGGATATGGCATCATACTTTAATTGTCTCTATTGTTCAGAAGTGACACCTTATTTTGATTGGCAAATGAGCACATACTATACATATGCACACACACAAAGACACATACCAATTCCTCATATCTACGATATTTGGCACTGTACTCGGTAATCAATTATTTCATTGTTTTGTGTTTTTCAGCATTTTTGGAATATTCCTCAAAGCCAAAGAGTATGGAGAGAAGATAGTTGCTGACATTGTGTCGACTTGGTGGATGATGCTTGTGTAAGCTACCGAGTCTAATATCAACAGTCTATTAATTCAGCAGATGATGAATGTGTATATATATATATAGTCTAGCTATGATAGACTTGGTGCACACTGTTAGGTAGTTAAAACGTGACCCCAGTATATAGTTGTAGGTGTGATAATGTCACTAGATACAATTCGTGCAAGTTTGAATAGTGAGACTTTGTACAGTTAGTTCATATTTTAGTAATGTATATATCTAGTTAAGCATCAACATATAAACATTTGCTTTGTAAAACAGTATGTATCATAAAACAAATGTGCTGAAAGGAAATTTCATTTAATTCACAAGAAACTTGGAAAAATAGAAAAGTATTAATCAATTGTAAAGTGGCAACGAAAATGGCCAACACCAATGTTCATACACGGATATTATAAAGGTATAAAATTAAAAAGTCATGATTTTTCAGATGTAAGTTCTTACACATGTATCAATAAAGCTTTTTAGAATTTGAAGTTCAATTTTCTCAGCAGATGAAACAGATTGATACATTCACTTCTCCTTTACGTGCACTTTGATCTTTACATGGCATTGGTGTGTTTTAGAATCCTGATCCTGAGCATGATTGTCTCCCTTATATGGATCATCGCTTTGAGGTTTATCGCAGGCATCATGGTGTGGATCACTATATTTGCCTTTTTGGGATTGTTTGGCTTCTGTGAGTATTACTGTTTCAGAGACTTCAAATATAGGAGATGCAAACACATTTAAAATTATTAGCTCACAGGGTCCGAAGGACCAAGGTGAGCTTATGCCATACCATGGAGTCCGTCGTCCGTCCGTCCGTCAACAATTTCTTTAAACGAATTCTTTGTCTTAACCACTGATTGGAATTTAATTAAATTTGACTGGAAGCATTCCTAGGTGGTAAGGATTCAAAATTGTACAAATGGTGGGGCTGATCCACCAGGGGGCTGAGGGGTGGGGCAAAAAGGGGGCAATTTGGCTATATTACTTGAAGCGACTTCTTCTCTGGAACTAAGAGATAGATATCAACCATATTTGACTGGAAGCATCCCTAGGTGCGGAGATTCAAAACTGTACAAATGGTGTGGCTGACCCCCCAGGGGGCTTAGGGGCGGGGCCAAAAGGGGCAATTTGGCTATATTGCTACAAACAACTTCTTCTGTAGAACTACGCACTGGATATCAATCATATTTAATCAAAAGCATTCATTGGAGGCAGGGTTTCAAAATTGAACAAATGATGTGGCTGACCCCCCAGGGGGCTGAGGGGTGGTGCCAAAAAGGGTTATTTGGCTATATTGCTTTAAGCGACTTTTCTCTGGAACTAAGAGACGAATATCAACCATATTTGACTGGAAGCATCCCTAGGTGGTGGGGATTCAAAATTGTACAAATGGTGGGGCTGACCCCAATGGGGCCAAAAGGGGGCAATTTGGCTATATTGCTATAAACGACTTCTTCTGTAGAACTATATATGCCATGGATATCGATCATATTTGGTTGAAAGCATTCATGGGAGGCAGGGATTCAAAATTGTACAAATGGTGGAGCTGACCCTCTGGGCTAAGGGGTGCATGAGCCATTTTTTTTTATTTGAGATTCCCACCATATAACCATATATACAATTTGCTGAGTATAAAGAGAAGAATGCACATTTGCTTCCAGGATGGCCCTAGGGTCTGGCCCCACCCTTGGAGACATAGTCCCTGTGCCATAACTTTAAAACGGTTGAGATCCCCAACCCAAAACTATATATACAAATGCTGGGCAAAAAGACACAAATGCAGTCATGATATTAGAATTGATCCTGGGGTCTGGCCACAACCCGAGGGACCTAGTTTCTGAGTCACAGCTTGGAAACAGTTGAGATCCCCACCCATAACCATACAAAATTGCTCGGCATGAAAAATCTAATACAGATATGCTACAAGGATTGGCCTTGGGGTCTGGCATATTCCCTTTGATCTCATTTGGAGAATATTTTGCCATGATTACTTAGATATCCAGGTGAGCGATAAAGGCCCTCTGGGCCTCTTGTGTTGGTTTTAGGTGTAAAACGATTTCAACTTTAGAATTGCAGTGCAAGATATAGATTTGCTCTATCATATATGATCTGGCTGAATATATATTCAATGTTACACAGTCATGTAATTGTACTACAAATATCTTTCTGTTGCATAATATTATCCATCTTGTGACTTCACCAATAATAATGAAATCAGTTATGACAGCAATTTCTAGTATAATTTGCTATAATTTGAGAAATCCTATGATAATTGAAAAAAAAAAAAACTCATTTCCAATCCATCTGGGCTCAGATATTCCAAATGTGATCACTTTAATCCCTGTTTACAACTTTTTTTAACTCCAGTAGTTGAGTAAAAATAGAACACAAAATCTCGAAAACTTTACTTGGTACATTATAATGATTTTGACAAACAAAACCATAACAGATCATATAAAAGTCAATAACTCAAAGCAATCTACTTACTTAATAAACATGTGTAATATCAATCAAATTGGTAAGCTTTATAGACAACTGCCTTTCGATAAATTGTTGTTGTTCATTAATTGGTTTCTTGGTTTTGAAGAAAGTAAAAAAAAATACTTATCCAACAGACTTTACACAATTTGTACCTAACTTTTAAGTTCACAGTTTTAATCTGGTAAAAGAACAAAATGTCTCATAGAAGTTCATTTGAAAAACATCTCTAACAACAGCAAGTAAAAATAACAGTATGACATTGACAACAGTCTTTCATTTTCATAAATAAATGTAAGAATTTAGAAATTTAGTTGAGTATATTACTTCCAGCCTCAAATATTAAGACACCTAATAACATGAGATAAAGTAGTGTATTTTTTTTCTAATGTACAATAATGTTACCAGATATATGGTGTTTCTATCTTGTTAAACTTTTGACTTCCTGTTTGTATGTCACAGCTACCTACTGGTGTTTTTGGACTTATGCCAATCTGGAAGGCAATGAGGAGTTCAGTATCCATGTTGTATCTATTGTCCTCCACTGGTCCAAACCTGACATGTTCCTGGCATTTGGTAAGTTTACGTTGTCTAAATACAATCTAAAGTGTGTTGCTTATTGTTAGTGAGTGATTTAAATTGTATTATTTTAAAGAATATCACAATTTTTTGACCTACAAAAGTTGAGACATCTTTCCGCTGCAGAGCCTGGGAACACAATGACTCTCCCTCCAATTTTTTTTTAACCAACAGAAGTCTCGATACTTGGTTGATATCTAGAGAATCGTCTCCCATTCACATATTATGTTACCTACATGTATGTCCCCACTGCGTGATCACGCTGTGGTCACTACGTCTACTCACTGGTAGAATATATTAAAATTATGTAATTGTAGTTGGATAATATCATTTTTTTTCCATTGAGAGCTGGCTTTTATTCATAAGCCTAAATTGTAATAGTAACACGCGTAACCAGGCACAAATCTCAGGTTGTGAAGTAGTTCAGTAATTAATTGACTATGCACATGTACCTCTACGTGTTTTTAAATTGTATTGTTACTTATTCCTACCAACCTGTCAAAATGATGATTGCAATTATACTGGTGAAAAATCACCCCACAGATAAAAAAAAAAAAAAAAAAAAATTAAATTCATAGTTATTAAGTTAAAGACATCAATTAATATTTAATTTCTTTGGTATTTATATATACAGGGACTGAAACATCAGAAGTTTATAGTTTTAGATGATTTTTACACATGTAACAATGTATTTATAGGTTAATAGGACCTGGAGTTACAGGTATTAAGGTTATTTATAAATGTTTTATTCTATTTACAGGAATCATCTCGGCTGTAATTTTACTGATTATGTTGATTGTCCTGTTGTTTTTGTGTGTGAGGATCAGAATTGCCATATCACTCATAAAGGAGGGCAGTAGGTCAGTATTCAATAATTATTACACAGCCCAATTAATTATTTCATTAATTCTACCTTTAATTTCAATGTAATATTTTGAAAGATAAATTGCCCTAAATATTTCTGACTATTTTAGGAGAGATACCAGTTATACAAAAAATAAAAGTTGGAAAAAATCAATGATGTGATGATTTTATTTGGGCAATATAGTTGCAGATTGTTTTGAATTTACCCCTAAAAAGCTTTTCTTTTCTGTTTGCAGTAGAGCTGAGGTATTCTTTCGTAAATCAGTAAACAATTGCTCATCGGGTGCATGTTTGTAAACTTTGAAAGCTATTGATTGCCTTTGGTTTAATGATCACATGCATGTCTTTTTGATATGGAGGAAAAACATCCTGTATTTATAACAAAATTTGCTCCTGTGCATAACTTTTTTATTTTGTTTCAGAGCCATTGGGAAGATGATGTTTACTTTGATATTCCCGATATTTCCATTCGCTCTACAGATAGCAGTGTTGGCCTACTGGTTAGCTGTGGCCACGTATCCTTGGACACCATAAACTGTTATCAATGGTGGCAATTGAATTCAAAGTTAATGAACTACTGAAGGGCAAGAAAATTGTAAATTTTTCATAATTATTTTCTGAATAGAATAGAGTTCTTAATATATTTCTTCTCTAAGACAGATTGAAATTGTTGATCTGCAATTAATGAATAATTGTTGAAATTGATCCCATATTTATATTATCTGAAGACATTTTTGATTTTTTTTTTTTTTTGAGAAATATTGTTAACAGATATTTTGCCAGTTTAACTGTAGATCAATAACCACAAAAATATCTTCTGTCTAGGTGAGATTTCACAAACAGTATTTTTTTAATATAGGGAATTATAATTTAAGAAAACATTACTGCTAATGTGTAAATTTGTTTAAGATAAGTGTATGAGAACTTGGTGAAAGAAGTAGTTATGATATGTAATGTCAGCGTTTTCACCGTGTTTCAAAACAGGTAATTGACCTGAAAAAATACCTGTTGAATGTTCACACGCTACATAATGTTGACCTATACATATTCTGAAAAATAAGGCTGGTTCAAAGTTGATGCATTTGCCAGTAACTAGCTTTTAATGGGAACACTGCAGGTTAACAGAGACATCGGCTCATGTTTACTTTTAAGACCACCCCTTTGTTAAGCTTATTTAACAAATTAAGTTCTCTTAGACTGAAAGAAATAATCTGTTTAAGCATAAAACCTTCTTGGATAAACTCAACAATGAATCAGTTAGGTCAGTTGGAAATTAAGATACATTCCTTATTTGTAAAATCAATCAAAACAAGACCTTGACCTAGTCAATAGATACCTGGCATCGACTGGGAGATCGCAGGACTTCTCAGTGAATGAGAACAGCACAGAGTACTGGAACCAAACAGCCAATGATTGGAACTATCTCAAAATTGTAGCGGAAACATCCTCACTGTTTGGAGAATCTTGCACAGGAAATGTGAGTTTTTGTCTCTTCTGCCAGAAGGGCAGGTGCTTTTATGGTTCATATTGAAATGAGTCATCTGGCATCAATTTCTTCATATCGACAAAGAGAACAGCACCCTTTTCAAAAATGCCAAGAGGTCTATAGGGTCATAATATTGCTTGGATGAAGTGCAATCAAAGTTGTTCCAAAAGATGAGCTTGACCCACTTTCAATTGAAAATTTGCTATCAATTTTTTAGTCCCCCACTGGTTTCCAGGGGGGCATAATAGTTTTGCACTCCATCCGTCCAAGAAGTTTTGTCTGGAACATATGTTCTATATTATTTCACCTGGAGTAACCCGTTTTTGTGTACAAGGACATCTTGCGATGGCACCGTGACCTATGCTTTAACCTTTGACCTTAACTTTTGAAAATGTGTGTCCGGGGCATACCGTCTATACTATTACACCTGGAGTAACCAGATTTGGTGTACAAAGACATCTTGTGATGGCAGAGTGCAAGAATTAGGTTACTGTGACCTATGACTTGACCTTTGACCTTTACTTTTGAAAACGTTTGTCCAGGGCATATCTTCTATACTTTTTCACCTGGAGTAACCAGATTTGGTGAACAAAGACTTATGGGTTGGCAGAGTGCAAGAAGAAATGTACTATTTCACCTGGAGTAACTGGATTTGGTGTACAAAGACATACTGAGATGGCAAAGTGCAGAATGCAGGAATTAGGTCACCTAGAGTAACTGGACCTTTTGAAAAAGGTTGTCCGGGCATTTCTTCTGTACTATTTCCCCTGGAGTCACCGGATTTGGTGTACAAGGACATCTTTGGACGTCGGAGTGCAGAGTGCAAGAATTAGGTCACTGTAACCTATGACTTGACCTTTGACCTTCACTTTTGAAAATGTTTTCCAGGGAATATCTTCTATACTTTTTCACCTGGAGTAACCAGATTTGGTGTACAAGGACATCTTGGGATGATTTCCAGTGGGGGACTATGAAATGCCTTGCAAACATGATTTTTGACTCAATTTCAAGGTTGTAATTGTATTAGAACAAATATAGGCCTATAAGATTAAGATTTAGGTTTTAACTTCTTGATATGTACCAGGGCAGTTCATTTTCTCACTCAAAAAAATTTTGACCTACATACTTTGTTGCATTGATCAAATGTCCTGAGAATTTCTAAGGGATTATTTCTGAAGCATTTTAGCATTAAATGTATTTTGATAATACCAGTAAATAACATTAGCGATCAATAAATTAGGCCCCTTAGGCAGTTTTTATGTAGATATATCTGGCCATTTCAAATCTTATGACATGTCATTGTCGATAATTTCTTAATATTTTACTGGTCTGTTGATTGCAGAATTGAATGCACTAAATTTTGTTTTTTTTGTTTGCTTACAGACTAACAGTACCACCAGTGATTTCTGTACTTTTTTGAAGAATGTAGAAGATAAGTAAGTGACACCTAGGCTTATTAAAAGGAGTAATGATGTTGTTAATATTTGTTTTAAATCATCTGAATCATTTGCCTTGCACCTTTAAATTCAATAATGTCATTCTGCGATGTCCTAACTCGTGCTGAAGCGTGTCTCACTCCATGCTGAGATGTCCTAACTCGTGCTGAAGCGTGTCTCACTCCATGCAAACAATAAATTTCTTGCATTTATAAATGTTCTCCCTCCATGTCACACGAAGGCATTAAATCAGCAAGTTTTGTCTTAGCCCATACAAAGGGGAATAACTCCAATTCAACTTGTTTCTGTTTCAGTTTTGTGCTATATGGACAGGTGTACAGCCTGTTCATGTTTTTCTGGCTATTGAACTTTGTGATTGCCGTTGGCCAGATGACATTAGCTGGGGCTTTTGCCTCCTACTACTGGGCATTTGAGAAACCAAGAGACATTCCAACCTTCCCATTGGCTGCTGCTCTTTGGAGATGCTTCAGGTAATTCCAGAAACAACCTTCTTTGCTATGCTTTAAGAATGACAGAGACATTTTATACCCCCAATTTAGTGGAGGGCACACTTAGGGTCAAAGGGCACACTTAAGCAGCTTTAGAAGAAACAAGACTTGAGTGCATTAGATACCTAATGAAGCGCATAACAGATTTAGTTTATGTTTACAACAAAGTATGGTAAAATCAAGTATAACAGGAAAGAGAGTAGTGTACGTGCCTCCACCTGGGAATCGAACCCACGATCCCTAGGTTCCTAGTAATTTGCTAAGTATTCACCCAGTACTTGAAACAAGGGTTGGCAAGCGCTCGAGTTTTGAAACAGGAGTAAGAGAAATGCAACGGCCAAACTGGGGTTCGAACCCAGGACCCTCCGAACTCTGGACGGAAACGTTCTACCAATTGAGCTACCTGGTCATCGACAATCAACCCAGTCCACTTCCGCTACACAAGTTATACCATACCTAATAATATATTGGTTGTCATTGGTCAAGGTGAAAAGTTCAAAAGTTACGTTTGACTTCTTTAAGGGGAATAGGGTTAAGTATGTGAGCCCTGCTCACCTTGTCTAATGTCAAATTATTCTATCAAGATTTCCCACATTGTAATAAAGCATTGTTGAATTGATTATCTTGCAGTGCAATAGTCAGAAATGGTAAAATATCTGGATGATATTTCTTAAGAATTTATTCACCAAAATTTATCCAGGAAAGTTTTACAAGTTGAACTTTATTTACAGGTACCATCTTGGTTCTCTAGCTTTCGGGTCCCTCATTCTGGCCATAGTGGCCATGATCCGAGTATTACTGGAGTACGTTGATGCGAAACTCAAAGGCACTGAAAATCCAGTCGGAAAGTTTTTGATCAAGTAAGTAATACATGTAAGCATGATGATATGGCTGTACACAGCTAGTGCATGGCTTTCTACTTTTACTTGCCTCCCTTTTGGATCATTAAATGGGGGAAAGAATATATTGAACCTCAACACATAAATAATTAGGGAATTTAATCAAATTCTATAAAGAATTTGCTTTAATGGATATTTTAAGATTATAACCCGTTTTTAGCTGTGAATCAATGAAAGTGGGAAATTAATACTAAAGTTGTTTTACTCATTTGCTAGTTCCTTCATTGGATAAAAACAATTTACCCACTTGGGTAGAAAGTATATTCGATATTGAAATAATCTAATTAATTATTTCACTATTTACATCATACAATTGATTGATATTGATTAGGGTTTAATTTGAATTTACAAGGGATATGCTGGTTGCATTTGAGACTACATGTATTTATTCATACAAAAGAGGATTTTTTACCACAATATTCATCTCTGCGAATGATTTCAACTTTAAATCATCAACTTTCTATTTTAAAGGTGTTTAAAATGCTGCTTCTGGTGTCTTGAGAAATGTCTCAAGTTTTTAACCAAAAATGCTTACATCATGGTAAGTTCAATATTTCTTAAACATGCATGCTATTTACCGTTACCTCCAATCCATTGCCAAAATGTTAGGTGTCTATTTTATCACCTTTTACAACACCTGACTTTGCATATGGAAAAGACCAATACACATCAAACGCTCAGTACATTTTACTTCAGAGTTTTCATTTTTTTCTGATTGACTGATGACTGATTATATATAAATCCTTGTGCTTTGAAGACTTGTTTCTGTATTTTCAGGATCAAAGCCAAATAAAGAAAGAAATTTAATGTCCATGGCATTCTTTTTCCCAAAGTGACATCACTGTTTAAATTATATTGATGTTGTAAGACTGAAACATCAAGTGTCTGCATTGCTCACTGAACATATAACACTCCTCTATGAGTTGAAATCAAGTGAACTTAACCTATTCATGTTTTGTCACAAGTCCAAAATCATATTGATTGAACAATATGCATTAAAAACTGTGTTCTAGTTTAATAATTTAATCTTGCTTGTAACAAGCATTTTCATTGGCTTAAAAATTTGTTATCAGCCCATAATGTAAAAAAATGACGTCGCCGTTTGTAACGTTGCTTTTGATTGGCCGATACAGCAGCGCAATAATTTCTAAAAGAAAAGAGTCCATCAATAAAAGTGGATTTCCATAGGAATTGTGTATAGTAGGTTAAATTATAAGGATTAATATGAATATATTTTTCATGTTATGGCGCTATATCACAAAAAAACAGAGTGTACTCTCATCATAAACCGCCTCGCGGTAGAGTACATCTCCATAACATGAAAAATATATTCAAGTTAATCCTTAAATATCAATATGTATACATGTATTGTTAACAAAGACTGGATATGTGAACCTAATCTTTAAGCTATTTTGATGAAAGACTGAAGGATGCATTTGTTGTGTTTTCAGGTTGCAATACATGGAAAGAATTTCTGTTCTTCTGCCAAAGATGCCTTTATGCTGATCATGCGAAATATAGTGAGGTAAAAATGGAGTCTTTTGATTGGCATTTTGTATAGTGTAAGATTAATGAACTATCCAAGTGTAAATAATTTAATTCAATTGTAAAAAGAAGAATGATAATGGTATATCTGTCTACTTGTCATATATGGTGTTTTGAAGCTAACAGATTCGATCTACATGTTTTGTCTCATTTTGTTTTAAAAAACATTAAATGGTACGAAATTTTGAGTCATAGTATTATTCCATCTTTTGTTTATCATTTGACTTGTTTACAGAGTTGCTGTTGTGGACAAAGTGACTGAGTTCATTATGCTGCTGGGGAAACTGGTGATAGTGGGAGCTACAGGTAATTGTTATGTGTGGTAGGTAGGGTTATCTGTATGATACTAGTAAGACCAGAGCAACAATATTTATTATAATTATATGTAGTATTAAAATCACAGATAGTTCTGTGGCAGAGCAAGAGGTCAATATTGAAATATATCTATATATAGACTGTCTGAAGAAAAAATATCAATATGGATCAACCTCTGAAATCTCAATGAGGGAGGGAGATCTCCCTCAGTCCACATTTCCAATGAGGAAGAAAGTGCATGAAACGTTACAGAAACTGATTTGCTCAATTTATCTTTCCCTTTTAATGTATCAAAATAACTCTGAAAAACATTCATTTGATTCAGGCTCACTTGTTATGATCATTACACACACCATGCAGTAACTAGGAGATCATATGAAAACAGGATGTAGATTTTGAGTTTGTGTGAGTTTGGACTTGAATGAGGGAGTTTTGATTGGTCAAAAATGAAATAATATTCCTCCTATTGAGGGAGGTTTGACAGCTATGACATAAATGTATAATATGTTAATATGTATACAATACTAAGGCAGAAAAAAACATGGGATTTATGGGTAAATATGAAGAACAGAAGTGTTATCATAAGCAGGTTATCAAGATGTCAATTTTCTATTCCAATTGTTTAAGAAATTGTTTTAAATATAATATGGAAGGAAAACGGTTATTTTCAGCTGCTGGAGCCTACTTCTTCTTCAGTGGTGGTATTGATTTCCTGAAGAACTACACCCCCACTCTCAACTTTTATGTTGTTCCTATTGTGGTGAGTGAAATACACTAATTAAAACACTGAATAAGGGCTAAATCACAAATAATATTTGCAAGTAGTAATATCATTATAGTCATATTGAATAAACAAGGGACTTGGGGTGTTATGGGTCATTTTCGGCCTCATAAAAAACCAAAAATTACAACTTGAATTTAGTTACCAATTTCTTTCAAAAACATCATATTAATTAGTTCATCTTTCCTGGTGCAATTTTTTTTCATCATATTTGTGTACTTTATTTATCTAAGATTACAAATATAACAAACAAATTATAAATCCATGATGAGGCCAGAAATGAATCTTAATGCCCTTAGTCCTTTCTCTTTCCATAAGAAAACATCAATATCACAGGGATCAAATGTATGAATATTTAGAATGGATCTGGCAGGCATGTTATTATTAAATTTCTGTCAGTAGTTTGTTTTGGTTTATTTTGCTCTTTTTTTTTTTCAATAACAGAAGGCCTTGTAATCTTATAACATTTGTTTTTGTGTCTATGATGTACAGATAGTGACCATCGTGTCGTATGTGGTTGCCAGCTGTTTCTTCAGCGTCTACTCCATGGCTGTGGACACCCTGTTCCTCTGTTTCTGTAAGTAACACTCGTGTATTACACAACAATGCTTTCTGGAATACTGACACTATGATAATGTTAAATGTCTTTAAGAGGCATAATTTTGCCCACCTCATTTTTGTTACGGTACAAAATTGTATCAGGCACTTATGTTAATTTGTTTAGTGTGGAAAAAGATGACACGGAATCAATATCTATATCAAAGTTTGAATAAATTCCGCAATTACCACATTTTGTTATTTACCGATAATTCTCTGAAAATCCTCATCTCATGTTAGTTTAATTTCAATATTTTTTTATAGATCATATTTTCACATAGCTGTATAGATACATACGTGTACATAGGACATACATATACATACAGGTACATACAGATACAAACATGTACATAGGATATATAATTTCATAGGTACATACAGATACATATAAATGCAGGTACATATAGTACTACATACAGATACATACATATTGGTACATACAGATACATACAGGTACAGTGTACATACATGTACACAGGTAAATCCTGATATATGCATGTACATAGTACATACAGATACATAAAGGTACGTAAAGATACACTGCATGTATAAAAGTACATACAGGTGCATCGGTACACACAAATATTTCAGTATATATACAGGTATATTATAACTTACAAAAATCCTATGGTCAAATGTTTTATGTTTCATAGTGGAAGATTTGGAAAGAAATGATGGCTCTGTGGAGAAACCATTCTACATGAGTAAAGATCTGATGAACATCCTTGGCAAGAAAAACCTGGTAATGAAGAAGGGGTCACAAGGAGAGAATTTCTAAAGACTAAATCACCTTGGTAATAGTGTCGTGACAATGTGTTATACTGACGTGGGTGAGGTACTGGTATGGATATGATGCCACAGAATGATATTTCACATTGGAATTGAAACTAGTTAAGTGTCCATGGAGGCCTACATGATCAAATTGACAATCAATTAGAGTGATTGAATTGGAATTATAAGTTTTGTATTTGATACGCATCATAACAAAGCTACACATTCATCAATTATTGATAAATATTTGTTTTTGATATGATAGTGAAGCTATACACATTCAATTATGAATAATAAATGTTTGTTTTTGATGTGGTACTCTCTATTGGCTGCACTTTAGATAATGAAGGAGTTCTAGCATAGTTGTTGTGAGAGTTCAATTTTCAGAATATGTTGGAATGATATACGTCTACTTTTCATATGCTGTAGTTGCAGCCTGTATATCACCCTACATGTTAACTCATTCACCCCTGTAGTTTCATAATGAACTATTCCAACCTTTGAATTGGAAGAGTTCAAATGTGTCATCAGGGGTGAATGAGTTAAAGCAACATCATCTGGAGTGAGGTTTATTCAACTTAAAAGTAGCAGGAGCTGTGGTAATTTTGTACCAAATATGTTTCAATTTTCACAATTATAAAAAAATATTTTTCTGTTTCTGTTTTCTGCTAAAATTTAGTAAAACATTTAAAAGATCTCTAATTCGATAGTATTAAAAGTAATTGAATGAATATTTTTTGTTAAAGTTTCCGTTCAATAATTATGCGTATTCGAGACACAAAATTGCTCAACTATTTAAGATTTCTGTTATATTGTAGGAGTAGAGATATGGCTCTCCGAACCGACATACTAGGATAGAAATATTGTCATGCTCAGTGATACAATGTTATGTTAGAAGTGGAGATGAGGATCAATGTAATTGCAGGCTTTAATAGTCCCATATGTGATGTACTCATATTTATTATAGACTTGTTTTAAGCTTTCCAATATTTTTTGTAAAAAAAATAAAAATGCAAATAACGAAAATGGACATTGATCAAATATGGAGTCATCTTAAAACTATATACTTTTTTCACTTGTTATAATATATTTTAATTAATATATATTATATATGTTTTAACTTTCAAATTGTATGTTGAATTGGTAATTGTTATCTCTCTCTCACATGATAAATGATAAGTGATGAAATTTTGCTACTGAAGTACAGAAGGAGAGTTGAATAAGATATTGACCAGCTTGATCAGGAAATTACAATTAATATACTTCATGAATATCCATATATGTCTGTTAATACAGTAAAAGAGAAACATGTTTTGATCGTTGATGATCTTGTAACAATAAGTGAAATATCGACAAACAAGATCATCAAAGCCTTGTGTCATATACATTACAGAAGTCAATGCTTGCCGGACATACTTGTCTCATTTTTGTCTGATTTATAAAGAACCTGATTGTTTCAACAATATTTTGAAATACAATTGCTGGCAATATCATACAATTTTTGAAAACAAATATAATACAAATTAGCGCAGTTGTCCATTGGAAGAGTGTTTCGAGCTATGCATGTTTTGTAATGATACCAGTAAATCTGTCCATGTAACCTGTGATATAAACATTCTGGAGTCCGAGACACTTTAACTCATGTATTATATCTATAACCTGAGGTAGTAACAATTCGCCATCACAGAGATGAACAGCAATACTACCCGTTATGGTAGGACAAAAGTACTCCAGGATATTTACATGAACTTGTAAAATTCAAAATAACATTTCAGTGGACATTTCCAACTTTTATTCAGCATTAACATATTGTTTTTAATCCCGCAGAGACTATGTTTTTGTTGATAAAAAGCTGGTACAAGGGCCATGTTAATGAGCTGATAGAAGGGCTTTCAGGTTCCAAATGTATAATATCATCATCAAGTACTTGCATAATTGAATACTTGTTACTTGAAAACTGATATCTGATTGCTTGCGGGCAGTTTGCACAATCACTGGGTTACTGACAGCAATTGGCATTGCATGGCTTCAGTGTGAATATATATAAAAGTTGATAGCCTGCTGTCAGATCCCAGTTGAATCCTTTATTTTTTTATGATTATTACTGCTAAGACTGGACAAAAATATTGTTTCAACAATAATTGGTGGTGTGGCTCACAATAATTGGTGGTGTGGCTCACACAATCTTTAATGAAAAGTTTGCTTATGTTCAGCATATTAATATATTGTACAGTAACTGTAGGGTGATTGTAACCATGTTGAGCCATCATTCCTATGATAAAGATTTATCTATTGTACATTGTATATAATTTTCACATTTCACTTGATTCACTATCATAGTGTTTGTAAATAATGTATTGCTAAGTTAATATGATTAAGATGATATAATTAAATCGTTTTAAAATAAATATAATTATAAAAGAAATGGTTCAGTACCAGTAGCTGTGATTATCATTCGATGACGTTTCCTACATTATACATTGTGATACATATAATTTTGTATACTATTATTCCTATATCGAAAACATCTGTTATTCCTAAAGTGAAATACTGTTATTCCTTTCGTGAAATTATGTGATTTCTGTAATAATATACTGTTTATGCTATTTGACAAAATACTGTTATCCTTTTGAAATATTATTTTTTGTTAATATCTTATCTTGCCCCTAGACCTAATTAAGAAGACTGGCAATATATAGTGTTGTTGTTATCTTTGTTAATGAATATTAGGAAGGTACTTCAAGTTACATATGGATGTTCACGAAATCCTCATGCAGTAATGTTTGTATGGTATACGTTTACCCATACGTTATACCAAGCATTATGCAGACCATTTCTGTGTGGTTAGAATTCTAATAAATCGAGATTTAGCCAAAGTATCACATTTGTGTGGTATTGTATAGTGTGAGAAAGCTGAAATGTATTGAATATATGGAACTATGATACAATGTAGTTTATGATGTACACAAAGCTCCATTAAAATATTTCAAATCGATGCGAGTTATGCGAGTAGGAGACACTTGCTAGTCGATACGTTCATGTGAACTATCATTTTCAATTTATTTTTCTTTACAAAATACGCCAGTTTCTAATTAATTGATTGAAATCAAATGTAATAATATAACAGCGATTTCAAATGGGTACTGTGCTGTTTTTCTCTGCTTGAATTGATCCCTGATCGTGATGATGGGATCAATGAGCCATGTATATTTGAAATTGGTCATTTTGATTAATTTAGGTTATCTCATATGCGTTTTGTTGACATCTATGCTATGTTGTTTTGAACTTTAAATCAAAATGGGTGGTTAGAACCATAGCACAACCAGTTGTGTAATATATAATGGGAATGAAATTCTGCACACCTGTAGAATCGTCTGTATTTTCATTCACGCGGATTTGTAACTGATGAAATTCCAACGTGTTATTAAACTGTATCAATATGTTATTTAAATTTTTGAAACAAAATTCGTTAAAGAGACCAAACGTTTTTCCAGACAGCTTTTCTGATGTTTATCCAGTAGTTATATACAGATGATGGCCGTGGCTTATTTGAGAGTATCCCTTGAGCAGTTCTGTTCACTGACAAAACGGACAATGAATAATATACACAGAATGCTGGGCCCTAATTCGCAAAGCCTTCAAGAGTCGTTATCGCATAAAGTAGAACTATTTTTAAGTCTGTATTTATTTAAATACTAGTTGAACAGTTCATTTTTATAGAACTCTTGCGTCAGATTATAATTTTCAATCATTAGCTGTACAATATGTAACGTTTGGTGTTACTCTTGATTAACCTGTAAGCAGTATTGCAGCAACCGGACCAAACTGTTGTATCTGTAACATCCATAGAACAAATATTTTGGATCATTACTTGAACAAAGAACTTAAATAGGTTACTGTTCATAAATAGCAGCTATCAAGTAAATCCATGCAGTAGATTCTTTCGTTTCATTCCGTGGAGTTTTGTAGACGCAACACTAATAACTGTGAAATATTGTTATTTGTAATGAAATCCGACATGCATATGTTTCTTTATATATTATTTTAATTAACGAGGAAAATTAATCTTACCATTTTATATACTGTACATGTAATATTCTTATATAAAATCAACATATCTCATTTTGATTAAATTTGGATACTTTTATTTACGTCGACTATTCAAGGAAATTTTCTCGGTGCTATTAAACTAATGACGTCCATTGTATGTGTGTTTTTTTGTTTATCTATAACTTTGTTTTCGTTATGACTGACCTTTATTCACATACCTTGTAATGGATTATATACTGGGGCTTAAAGTTCCGCAATTTGTACCCTTACTTAGAATAATAAATTTACAAGTTTTATAATTTTGCAATCTAGACATGTGAAGGAACTCAGTTTTTCACGGAGTCTGGACATTCGGCATATATAGCATAATGTTAACTGGGAAGGAAGTGCACTTTAATTTGTTAAATAAATCAACAAAACTGTTACATATATGTGTGATATAATCTAACTTCAAACATATCTCTCTTGATGTAAAGGAAATGACACGAGCAGCATACTGGCTCTTTCATGATGACATTCCGGTTATGAAATTTATTATCGCGGCTCATGATTATATATAACATTTATGTATTGTCATATTATTCTGCGGATCACATTTTCGCCATCACGCTAATGACCCGCGAACATTTCATTCCCGCAGAAATATCGTGCTATACAGTATGTTGAATCTCTGGTCAGTTTTAACGGTTTTTGACCGAGATGTTTTCTTTGATGATTTGTATCCATCGATATAATACAGATGGGTCGGATGGCGCAGTGTATAGTGCACTTTCCTTTCACCAAGGCGACCGTGGTTCGATTCCCCGATCGGACGTGAAAAGGTATGTAGTCACCTGCCCGATCACGTGGGTTTTAGCCGGGTTCTCCGGTTTCCTCCCACAGTAGGACCCAAGCGCGCTAACATCCGAGCCAACAAGAGTGATTTGTATAAGTAGCAAAATAAATAAAGTTTATAGTATATTATATATACAATAAAGATTTCTAAAAGTAATGAACGTAGACAAATAGACGTTATGTAGATTTTAAGGAGATTTTGTACATTTTTTTAAAATATATAAAAATAACAAGATCAACACGGCAAACCAAGTTATCGCCCGAAGACGGTCGTAAGGCTTGAAAACGTTAGTGATAATCAACCATATCTACCATTCTGATTTTGAATGTCTACATAGCATTATAAACATAATGTTAATGATTTTCCGTTTCCCGACGGCAATCCATGATAGAAACACTATATGTAGCATTCAAATTGGTGCAATAATATACTCGGGATGTCATGTAACCCATGCTAGTCCTTACAACATCTGTATCTATTTCTACGCTTACAGTGAAGTACACGCACTCGAATGCATCCCTCTTGCATTTGGAAATGTCATTGAAATATAACAAATGAAAAGCCACGTAACTTTTTACCGACACTAAAATAATAATGTGATACTATTAGTAATCGTAAAATAAATATGTTCTTTTGATCGTAGTACGTAGATAAGGTTTTATGAACGTTCTAAAGGCAAGTGATCGAATACTATAATATAATTTCAGCACTTAATAAATACATGTAGATGCAACTGTCAACTTTCGTGATATTATGAAGACAAGTCATTGCATTGTCATGTTTCCCCATCATTAAATATATACATAGATAATGTGTTGACAGATTTATGTATTGTAATAACATTATTTCTAATGTTTTAAATACTTCTATTTCATACATTTGTTGTCGGTATACATGATATCAGTAATACTAGAGTAGAATGCAGTTATTTAGTTCATGGTAGCAATTTTTTATTCAGCGAACATCTTGCTACTGCCATTGGAAAGGTGAAAAGTATATTAGCAAAAGTAAGAGTCACCAGCGCCGATCATCAATAATATTAACTTTAAATCATGTATTAAAGTACTGGACCTATTCCATGATCTATCATAATAAATTCATCTCCATCACCAAAATGAAAACTAATTGGTTATAGAAATTATACATTTTCCGTAAGGCATCCATAATAGCTGGGTAAGATACGTTCTGGTTCTCTGATAGTGTAAAGGAGAATGAAAAGGTTGATGTATTTAACTCTAGTATTTGGTAAACTGTTTGATTTCGTAGTACATTATTAATACAATAAGTTTGTTATTTAAATAGAAGGTATAATCGAGGAAGCATTTATAAAATGTACACGTCGGGGCAAGTAAAACCTGTAAACTGTTGATTTATAGTGTTGCCCATTTCCGTCCCGATTCAATGTAAACACTTAGCAACTTCATTCTTTTCACAGATTTTGGTCAAACTTTATGCAAAGGTCATGTATGAGTATATTTCGGACAGTGTTGTGATTCAGGGCTCCAAGGTCAAGGCCAATGCCTCTATTGCTATATATAGAAAATCAGCAACTGATTCGATTTAAACACTTAGCAACTTCATTCTTTCGTGGGTTTTGGTCAAACTTTATACAATGGTCAAGTATGAGTATACTTTGGACATCGTTGTGTTTCAGGGACCCAAGGTCAAGGCCAATGCCTCTGTTGCCATATATAGAAAATCATCAACTTATTCAATTTAAACACGTAGCAACTTCATTCTTTGACATATTTTGGTCAAACGTTATACAAAGGTCAAGTATGAGTATACTTCGGACATTCTTGTGTTTCAGGCTTTCAAGGTCAAGGCCAAGATCACACTTGCTATATATGGAAAATCATCAACTTATTCAATTTAAACACGTAGCAACTTCATTCTTTCGTGGATTTTGGGCAAACTTTATGAAAAGGTCATGTATGAGTATACTTCGGACATTCTTGTGTTTCAGGGTTTCAAGGTCAAGGCCAAGATCACACTTGCTATATATGGAAAATCATCAACTTATTCAATTTAAACACGTAGCAACTTCATTCTTTCGTGGATTTTGGTCAAACTTTATGCAAAGGTCATGTATGAGTATATTTCGGACAGTGTTGTGTTTCAGGGTTCCAAGGTCAAGGCCAATGCCTCTGTTGCTATATATAGAAAATCATCAACTGATTCAATGTAAACACTTAGCAACTTCATTCTTTGACAGATTTTGGTCAAACGTTATACAAAGGTCAAGTATGAGTATACTTTGGACATCGTTGTGTTTCAGGGACCCAAGGTCAAGGCCAATGTCGCACTTGCTATATATCGAAAATCATCAACTGATTCAATGTAAACACTTAGCAACTTCATTCTTTTCACAGATTTTGGTCAAACTTTATGCAAAGCTCAAGTATGAGTTTACTTTGGACATCGTTGTGTTTCAGGGATCCAAGGTCAAGGCCAAGGTCACACTTGCTATATATAGAAAATCATCAACTGATTCGATTTAAACACTTAGCAACTGCATTCTTTCGTGGATTTTGGTCAAACTTTATGCAAAGGTCAAGTATGAGTATACTTCGGACATTCTTGTGTTTCAGGGTTTCAAGGTCAAGGCTAAGATCACACTTGTTATATATAGAAAATCATCATCTGATTCAATTTAAACACTTAGCAACTTCATTCTTTCGTGGATTTTGGTCAAACTTTATGCAAAGGTCATGTATGAGTATACTTCGGACATTGTTGTGTTTCAGGGTTCAAAGGTCAAGGCCAAGGTCGTACTTGCTATATATAGAAAATCATCAACTTATTCAATTTAAACACTTAGCAACTTCATTCTTTCACGGATTTTGGTCAAACTTTATATAAAGGTCAAATATGAGTATACCTCTGACATCCTTGTATTTCAGGATGATAATAACATACAGAAAAAACATGAATATTAAGATTAACTTTAAGTGCAGTACCTTGTGTGTGTGCAGGTGTCAGGGTAACAAGATCAAAGTGGTTGTAACTTTTTATAGAACACTGAAACTAATTTCACATACAGCGGGGGCATTCATGTCTTACAGACATTTTCTAGTTGAAAAACATGATCCTTAATATATGTACAGATTGTAGCTTTTCAACAGTGTACAAATTATACTTTCATTATTCGGGGACTTTTAATAATGGATACCGTTAGTGGTATATCAGCGGGAGCTGTTTTTTAAAGTGATACTGATATAACGGGGTTATTTCCCCTGTCATATGATTATATTAAAGTTGTAATAATACCTGATCATTCAATTAGCACAGTCGTTTTTGTCCCAAATGACCGACATTCTGAAAAAAACCTTTTAATTCTGCATAAAATTAAAGTTCATTCGCGTTTACCTGCGTAAGGTTTTTATTCAAGAATGTCTGTGACGTGCGATCCCTCTGACGGCTAACCCAATCTCTTTTCGAAGTCAAGAGCTGCGTTACAAATAAAAAGATATACGGATTAGCATTTGTTACACGTTGTCGACAAAAATATTTCAGAATATCTATTAAGAAGAAAACTTAATCATTCATGTAGTATAACATAACTAAATTATAGTTTATAATTCTTAAAGGTTTATATTGTGTTTAAAGCTCCTTATAAACTTTTTTTTGTAGACACGAAATATATTTTAATACTTAATGACTTCTTATTTAAGCGATTGATAACAGTGGAGATATATACACTTTACCGTTACGCGTGATGCTTTTGAACGGTCCGTATTGAATACCATCAGATAGTCATGTCCGGGTCAGTTTGTGCCATTGTGATTTGATTTAAATCCCTAATTCAAAGCAGTTGTTTAAAATCAGTGTCATTAGGTTTTGGCAAACAGAATAGTATACATGAATAAGTATAACGTGTGTGCAAGGCCCAGGTTTAACTTTAGTCGCCATCTTGCATTTGAGACTGTCATACATTTACGTAGATTAAAAGTGTTGTTATAATACGAAAATTTTACACGGATATCTACAACAAGAGTCATGTCGTCGAAGGTGGCTCCCGAAGGTAAGTTATTAAATAGTAACCCGTTTGGTTTGTTTATATAATGATCATCTAAGAAAAACTGTATAGACTAGGAACGGTGGTTTGTGATTTTTGTTATATCTCCTATCAGGTAGTTAACATTTTTAAGTCAAGCTGTGCCCATTCTCTAGCTGTATTTAATTACAAAAATAACTAAATAAAGATATTTTACAAATATAAACACCAGCGGGATTATCTCATTTTCATTTACACATTTAAACGAGATCATTTTTTATTATATAACCGTATTCGTAAAGTAGCTTACAGTTCTGTTAATGCTGATACAGATGACTATGATGAGCAAAATGAATACTGATTTTATAACTGAATAGAGAAATAAAACATTCTACCGCTTAGTGTGGACAACGATGATTCTATAACTGAATATATTCAATGATAATTCGCGACTGACCAGAAACGAATAACTGATGAAACCTGAGTAAAAAATAAGAATTATATATTTTAGAATAATGGACCAGAGTAGGGTCAGTGATGATTTTATAACTGAATATATTCAATGATTATTCGCGACTGACTAGAAACGAATAACTGATGAAACCTTTTATTTTTAGTAGACAATAAGGATTATATATTCTAGAATAATGAACCCGAGTAGGGTCAGTGATGATTCTATAACTGCAGATACTAAACATGAGCAGCACTTATCATTACCATATAGCTGTAGGAACAATGGTGGTCTTGTTATTGTGGGACAATGGTTATTTAAGTGATAACTAAACCTAAGTATGTGAAATGATTGTTCTATATCTGACTAGGGTAAACAGTGATCCCATTGAAGTAGTGAGAACATTTCAAATTGTACCGTTTACTAAAAAAAAAATAACCAAAGTCTTATCTGAACACATGCTACATGTACTTAATTAACTGTTTGATGTGACGAGGATTTTGACAGAATACTCGTTATTGATTTGGCTTTATCTACGAAACGTGTTACTTTCTTATGAATTTATACAGACGAAATTCTCCATAAACTTGACATATAAAAAACAGGCTGAGCCCCCCTTTAATGGTTGAACATTATCAATGCGGAAAACCCATTGGGTCGCCAGTTACTTTCGTTAATTCATGTAGGAACTCTTGCAAAAGCATGGTACCACCTAAATATTATACATTGATGTTCATGTTTCAATACGAGCAGACATTACCCGAATATCATTCGATTGTTTAATTTGCTTTTTTATTGTTAATTGCAGCACAATTTTTTCTACGTGAACGTTTGTCTTATACATTTGTTTGTTAGAAACTTCGTTATTGTTTATTATTAAGACCCCATTTGAATGAAATTAACACCAAATTATAATTATTTCCGTTTTTCATTTCAGCGGAGAAAAAAGACTTCGGTAAGATGTTTTTTTATAGATAATTAAACCTAAGAAGGTAAATTGATGATTCGTTGTGACTTTGGTTAAAATTGATTCAATTGAAGCAGTTTGAAGGTTTTGAAGGGCTTGGCAGTTTGCTGATATTTGTTTTTCATTCCGTTCAAATTAACGAGCGATAAAAACAGGCTACGGTTGTATTGATTTATTCGGTAAACTAGATAAGGATTTCAAGACAATTTTATCTTATCTAAATATTACACACTAGTCCTTACAAGCCACCTTAACGGATCATCACAGAATCATTCATTTATTTTACATTTTAACATTTAACAGCTTATCTTCATTACCAAACAAACCGTTAGAAATAATGACTTCAAATTTATTGTACTACGTAATAACGTGTATTATGAAATGTTCTCAGAAACGTTTGTAAAGCGTTGATTCACGATCATTGTCTAATGTGTATCCTGTTAAAACCATATCCATACTATACCTCGATTCCTCATGCTTGGCTTAAACCACATGTCAGATATCGGATGTATATCCGGTACTAGTTTGAGTTTTAGAGTATCCTTCAAGTAGAAATGTATATAAACATTATAACACATTTAGAAACTCCACACGTGTCATCAGCGTAGTAACATGAAGTAACATAAATTTTGTAAATGCTTTGTAATAAATAACACAAAAAAAAATATAATAGAAAAACGATATTACAAAGAACAACTAGAACAACATACTGATATAAATAGTTCAATGTAACTTACAGTAGAACGAAATGTCGATTATACACGATTTTAAATGAAATGCATTCCGAGACATTGTATTTATATTATGATACAACATTTATTCAATCGAAATAAGAGCACTAACTTTTCGTCAAGTAATAAGATAGATATATCAACTTGTTGAGAAGAAATCATATCAATTACTAAATACCCCATAATTCGGGAAACATCTTTGGTGAAACAAATCTTTGTTGAAAAAGATATAATGGGCAGCACTGGACTTTTGCATTGACGGATGGTGAAAAGAGCGAAAGTTATTTTTTTTCTTCTATTAAATGCAAGCATGTAACTTTTTGAGAATGTTTAGTGAGAAATGTGTTATACAGATAAAATGACACACCAACATTAACAAAAATGGTAAACAATGATGCTACGAACAAACAAGCATCGATATATCAAATGTATACCACTTATGCTATATGATCATTTAGTTAACGAATGGAACATTAAAAACCCATATATTGGTGTGGTCAATTTGAATAGTATGATCATTTATAGATTCCAAACAACGTTTTCCTATTATGTTACTGGCTATGGTACAGCAAATGTACGTGCGAAAATCCCCGCTCGTTTACCCTATATTATGAAGTTTAAATTACCGACAGGGCAGTCTCAATGTCGCGGGTCATTGTCTGTCTATATAATAAGTATTCTAGGTGTGTCACGATTTACTACAGTGTAACTTTAAATCCTGAATACTCTATTGTTATCCGTGCATTGACAATGGTATTTGTTATGGTATGTAATTGTTTGCATGTTTTAGCAACAATTAGCTCCTATATGAAAGAAAGAAGTTTAAATAGTCATACTACTAACCAACACACACGAATTAATTGACTTGATGTTCGAATGTACACATTTAGGTTAAATTTACGACGGGATAAGTATATGTGTGGTTTCAAAATGAAATCTGCGTTCCTTTTATTTTTTAACACTGTGCAGCTTGCAGCTTTAACAAACCCCAATTATACATTTTATCAAATTAATATTTCATGTCATTGTATAATCTAACAGTTGAGTATAATGGAATTCATTCTGATAACATTTGTTGTTCTCACCATCAATATATCTTATATTAAATAATATAACATAGACTTTTCAGTATAATTTCTTTAAATTGTCAGTAAATTATTACAACTACAAAAAATGTTTGTAAATATCATGTGATTTACATCGTTTACCAATTAAAAAGTATAAGACCACTATTCAAAACATGCATCTTGCTTTGAAATGGCATTGTCGCATGTATCATACCAATCGATTCCCACACAAAGGCCTATTGATATTGTCTGCCTCTCTGTACGTGCAGGGTATAAAGATGTTCCTTCTACTCGCGGGCGTAGAGGTATCTGGATTGCCGTTATGTATTCGACCTCCTAGCTTATTCTTAAATATCACCGCCCCAACTACGCCACTCCTTTTGGCTAAGAAATAGTTAGGGAAAGAAGATTGTTATTTGTGACAGCATCCCTGTAGATAATTTTACGTCATATGTAAATAAACGTGATTTCAGAATTATGACCACGCCCACAGGTAAAAGAAATAAGGTAGCACAACCTTACTATGTTTTCAGACGACCCTGTGTACACTCCACAGCATATTCTTCATTAGTCCGGATAGCTCTGTTAGAAAATACTCTTTATGTTTACATTTAACGAAGATTGAGAACTGATTTACTACATTTAGTATGTCTTATATAATCATACAAGTGTCTTTCTTGCCAAAAATTGATAACCGATGTTAACACAAACAATTGGAAATAAAACACTTTTACAATACTTTTAATTATTTACATGGTGTACACGTCCCCTGCTTTCCTTTCAGGAAAACCGAAACAACACGACCCAAATTTTAAGGGACCATTGAAGAATAGGTATAGTGTACTTATATAACCCTACTGTTTATTCTTAAAACAATATTTCAGTTTTGGCTTTGAATTAAACTATCAATTCGAACTTATGTTCTTTATTCAAAAATCTTCTCGCAATTCAATGTTTATATTAATTATGTAATCATGCACACATTTAAAATTCGTCTTTTATCATCCAAATGGACAAAATAAGACGGGAAATCGAATAAAACATTTGAAATATTAATTATGTATTAATAAGGTTGAGAATATAACTGAGATATATGTTATGTTATACATGTTTGCATCATTTTTCAGATCTTGTACAGACATCATCTGTTGTCTAATTTTCGTCATCTTCCTTGGTGTATTCGCCCTGGTATCCGCCTATGGTATGTATGTGTGGGCTCAGTACATAGTAATGTTTAGTGTTATACTACTTCATATTGTCCACGTATATTACAAGAAGTAGCTGAGGTCAACAGGAATAATTGCAAATGAAATGCACTTATTACATGATTAAGCCGAAACCCCATCTAAAACAATATACAGTACTTGAACAACGGAAAGATATATCACGGTGACAATACATGGAAGGGTGGGGAACTTGAAAAAGGTCTATTATATACAAGTATGTGAGATATGGATAGTCTATCCGAGACTGTAATTAGAACCCTTGGCTTGCCGGGGTACTGAATCCAAATTCTGCACCCGAGGGTAGAATATCCACACCCGAAGTACCTGGATAATGGTTGACTCTTTCTCTCCCACCCCTTAACCAGAGTTTTGTTAGAACACGCGAAACCATCCTAATGAGACACTAAATATTTCAAAATTTATAGATGACGTATACACAAAGAAAGGCCATATTGACAATGCGCAGATAACCGTACGGTATACTTTTGGTATACCTCAGATTTAAAACTCTATGCAAGACCTCCAGGATAAGCTTGTACTACTACTCTTATGTTTTTTAGGTGGTGTCACCTGCCGACGGTATGATTGCCACAGTCAAACGAACGACGTTTTCAGTTCTGTAGAAATTTGTCAAAGTATGGTTAGTCGATATTGTCACAAATGCACACAGAAAAAGATGATGTGAATTTCTTGTTCTCATTATGGGGTCCTGTGCACACATATTTTGACACTGAAGCTGTGAACCCAATTGATCAAATATAGATTTGCTTTAGTTACATATTTTCTTTCTGAGCACATGCTTTTGTAGTTCAATGGCATTTGAAGTTGTAGTATTCAGGTTATGTTTGAACTTTTGCATAACAGTATGCACAACTCAATATTTCGTTTGTCTATTACAGCCTTCATACAGGGTAACCCGTTATTGCTGTTATATCCCGTGGACTCTGACGGTGTCATGTGTGGATCCGGTACTAATGCGTGAGTTTTTAACTGACCTTGATGTTCTTTGTTTACGCAAACATAATGCTGTAACCCCATCAACTTTAACCCACAGACATACGGTACATGTACATCCCTACAACACACGATACTTTCAGATGCAGGTTAATGAATACTTCGAGCAAGTTCTATGATCGCTAATATTAGGTCGTGTACTAACATGTTCTGCCCGGGTGGATTTGCCCTCATTTTAGAAAAAGAAAAATGCTAAACTGCGTCTAGCATTTCTGGTTGTTATGCTATGTACGATCACAGATATTGTAGAATATACAAAAACACTCTGGTGTTTAAATGAAGAACTTGTTTTGAAACTTTTCATGTGATAATCTATACATCTTATTTTGTTTCCACAATAGGTTTCATATTCATAATACCATCTGAAAGAGATAATCCGACGAAAATGTGATTCCCAAACGTTGAGATTTTAAAAATACAATGTAAATAGTAATTTTAGCCGTATGATTCTACCATGTTAGTGCTATTCCGATTGGCAGGCGATGCGATGTGTGATTGAAAATACAGAAAACAAAATATAAGGCGTTATGAAATATATTTCAGCTCATTTCAAATTTACTTACCTTTAGTCTATTATTTGCTGTGATAGTAATATTATGTTTCGCTTAATTTGTTGCAGTGGAAAGGACTACCTGTTTTATTTCGATCTTATCGATTGTTCAAAGGCAGGGATAGCCGTCTTCCTGCTGGGATGTCCTTCACCACAGGTACATTAGATTGAGTGTTAGACACAAAAATGGCGAGAAGGGTCGTGATATAGTTGTTTTCTTTCTACTTCTACCTATCCTCTTTTTTAATTATTAATTTAAAGAATAAAAAGTAAAAATCATAAAAGTGGTCATTTACCCTTCATTTTACATGTCACACTTTTATTAATATCGGTATGTGAAAATCTGTTGTTGTAAGATTGTAACTTAACGGAAAACAAAGCAGAATTGTTCTATACCTTACGAAGCTATCTACTTCCTGTCTTTATTCTATCATGTATGCAATGTTTAAGGAAAATGGCTATTTTTTCTGTTTGAACTTTCTAGATCTGTGTCACCACGTGTCCGTCATATTATTACTCAGTGGCCACGGATGTGTCGTCAAGCTCAGATTTGAAATATTGTAAAGAATCTGCCGACATGAGCGTGAGTATATGGCTGAAATATTGACTTCAAAATTTAAAAATTTACGTTTCGAAGATTAAACGATTGTTATAAGATAAACGTATGCGTTCCAATTGCATTGTTTGGATATATGTAATATATTTCATTATTTTTGGATTTTTGCAAACGTAAATTAATTATATTCTTTATATTCCCAATTCAACATCATATTGCTATATTTTTGCTAAGTGTAGTTGCATTTGGTCACATAGACGTTTCGAAAGGTGATGCTTTTATTGCTGATGCGACCAATCCAAATGTGAATGCAATTAGAGGTAACGATATGGTTTACTAGAAAGACGTTTACCAACTGATATCAGAAGACGAGTGCCCTGCATACATTCTCGCCAGCTCCCCAGGCAAGTACCACCATCACACAACCCCATCTCGTTGGATATATCTAAACTTGAACACAGACTATTGTATGTTTTTTAAGCGATAGGAACGTTTATATATGTATCAATATGAACACTTATATTAACTTAAAAATATACAGATCTAAAAACATCAATGCTAAAAGCATTATGGTAAGATCTGTGCTCGGACTTCAGATAATGCATATAATCATAGTTAACAGTTAAAATACCTTACACGACAAAGGATGACCAAAGTGTCAACAAAATCGTAATTCGAACTCCAAATCAGACAAAATATTATTAACATGGAGGCACTTAAAAAAGTACCAGGAAAATAAGATCAAGTGCTTCGGAAGGATTCGAATGTTTTGCTTCAGTGACACCCACCAGGTACGTACATGGTACATGACATTGATAACATTTTGACATACATACATGGTACACGACGTATTTATAACACTATGACAAACGTACATGTACATGGCGTAGGCCTGTTGATGACATCATGTCATACTGACATTGTACATGAAGTCGTGATATTCTGTTATGTCGAAACTAAGAGCGAAAGATGATATTATAAAATCCGTTTTCGTTTAGTGATCCGCCGCTGTGTACCAACTGTCCTGGTCAACTTCATCAACAGCATTGGTGATTTGGATAGTAACATCAACAGCAGCGTGCCCACTACTCTGTCTAGCAAGGATGGTACAGGTCTGACGGCAAGCATACTCTCCACAGCATTAGAGTAAGTAGCACAATAACTTAAGAGTTACATAATTTGTTTGGCACAAATGCTACAAATAAAGTAAACGTTTTAAATTTTAAGTGGTAAGATAAAACACGAATATAGCAATAACCATCTGGCAGAAAACGAAAACCACTGGCGGACTATATATTTGAACTTCTTTCCCGAGCGGAGGCATGCCTCCTGTTCATTCCTCGGTCTTATTACGATTTTGCCACTGTAAGATGAAATATAGCGAATATTTAGTATACGATTACTGTTAAAGCTACTCCAGGGCCTGCATGCTGACAGACTTGACTACCATGTAGTTGATTAATGTTATTGTTTATCTCCCCTCAGTGTGTTTGGCACGTTTATCAAGGCCAAAGAATACGCGGAAAAGATCATGTCTGAAGTTCTGCGGACGTGGTGGGTCATCGTTGTGTAAGTGATCAGTATTTCAGTGTAATGTTCTGTATTGTTTAAATAACGTTTGCCATTGTACAATACGCATCAAATTGTATTCGATTATAATTGTATTCCTGTATCATTATAAACGTAATATATTTTACTATCATTGTATGTCTAATCTCCAATGTGTCTTACACAAGGAATACAATAATCTGAATCTGAATATGATTTATATCAAAATGTCTGTACAGCGTAACAGAAAGTTGGATAACGGACATTTCACTTATTCCGAAGTATATACTGAAAAAAGTAGGCCGACAAAAGTCTTATACGGAGTTGAATATATGTGTCGAGCACGAACGAAGAGATATGTTGTAGTTTCGTCTCATTCACAAATTAATAAGAGGTTAAATTTACAAACCAGACGTAATTCGTTCAGGTTATTATAAGACCATGACCATGTCCTACCCTGTATCAAACCGAGAGCTGGTATGAGTCGTGGGTTGATACGGGCCAGAATATGGAAATTGTTATAACGTTACCTTTTTGTCATAAATACGCTGGTACTAGTTTAACCCATATCTCCCCTACCCCTCGGGCCAACTTGCATGGAGGTATTGGTTGATACGAAGTAGGATGATGAAAATGGTCATATAAAAACCTATTGCAAGCAAACGTTATATGATGGGCTAGTCATAAATCCCGCTGTCGATGGCAAGCAGCCGTAGTTGTACGTCCCTATAATTTTATCTCGTTGATATTTAACACATTGATTACAAGAAGAAACCTTCCACTGGCTATCCAATTATTAAACAAAGGTAACTAAATGTCTTTAGGTTTAATTGATATAAAACTTGACTGTTTATAGTAATAAGAAAATGTACCCTTCGCTATCTTTTTTCAGCTTTATGATCATTGTCATGCTGCTGTCCCTGCTTTACATCGTTCTCCTTCGACTGTTGGCTGGCTTCATGGTGTGGTTCACCATCTTCGGGATGCTTGGGGCATTTGGATATGGTAAGTTAACAGATTTATCTACTTTTGCCTTATGTTCTTTCGTTATTCTCATACAACCAGATCAATAGGTGTCTTTGTATTTTTACGGGAAAATATTTGGAAATTTTACACTTCGTTTAACCTCTCGAGTCTATTGGCCTGATGCATGTTGCGCTATAGAAGGTGTGTCAGGACCGGCGGGCGCCAAAAACTGAATATTCGAGACTACACAAGCTATAATGTCAAGTACATTTCTTGTAATCATTCTAGCATATGTAGGTCGTAGATTGAGGAAATAATGTAAATGTTGTTACCCACTGCATGTTGTAAGATGGATCTTTATATATTCCTCTCAATTTAAACAAAAATCTGTTTTCGTTTCCCAGCGCCTTGCTTTGCAATACCTCTTTTGTGGCGTAGTGCTAAACATTCACCAAAGAGAGAAAGGCAATGGATTTTGTCCCTAGGACGAGACATAATAAAGCCATTCAAAATGGCAGTTGTTAATCCTGCCAAACGCTCACCATTTAGGGTATTCACACCAACTGAATCACCCGCTGTCACTATAAAATGGCTGATTGGAATACACAATGTTGTGTGCTGGGTGCCTTGTTTGCATCTGATCTGCGCTATGTCAAGGCGGCAAACACCGAAAGCACGAATAGATTACGTAATGGATGGCACGTCCTTTAAATACCTTAGTTATCAATAGCTTGTTCAACGCGATACAATCAAATTAAATTAAATAATATCAATTTTCTGTGTAGAAATATTTGCATATAAAATGGCATAATGGGTTATAAAAATATTAACATATATGTGGTTAGAATATCACTTAAATTGCATATGCAATACAATTTTATGATTTCATATATTGCCCAAACGTGTGATAAGACATCGTCCGCTTCCGGATATAAATGCTCGCATCAGGTTCTAATACCAGCGAAACCAAATTTTCAGTCAAAGCCGCTTCGAAATACAGAACTGTACAAAAATACAAGAGATTACCGAACAAAAACTTGTTTCGAACTAAAAGTCGCTGAACTTAAGAATCATATGGATGATAGAAAATTTTCTTGAGGGTCTTAAAAAGGTAAATTCATAAAACACATATAATAAATAAATCCTCAAAGATGGGTACCATAAAACTTTTTCCAAATATCTTTGTAAACTGCATATTTTGAAACACTGCGTTGTAAATTAATTTGTCAGCAGCAATCAATATCTATCACCGATATCGTTATATTAGGAACAATATGGTTAATATCGAATCAACTGCGCCGTGCAAGCGTCGTAATAAGGGATACAGTGATGTTGCGTTCAAGAACGGGAAACCTCACGATCAAACATCGAAATCGTCACGCTTATGTCACAGACTAGTACGAAGACGTCCCTGCTGTGGACCATGTGCAAAATGTGCAAAATGTAATAGGAAAATTATTTCAACTGATAATACATGCAAGACAATACTTGTTATATGCATCTATCTATCTTCATAAGCACGCATATATTTTACCAATCATATCGTTAGAAACAAGAACACTCGAATAATATATATCAGTTGAAAGAGTTTTATATACAATAATCAAGCATACCCGTTACAGTGTTAACAGCAAAAGTTATACTGTACTGAACGAATTCCTTAATATATGGATACCAGGTGAACTCAAGGATAAACGTTTCTGCTCAATGCTGATGAATCAAATCAGAAGAATTCATCTCATCATCAGACTTGACCTGTTTTGCAACATGAACATGTCAGACATGATCATATCAGAGTACAACTTTAAACTAGGCCTGACTGCAAGATGGTATGGAATTACAAAAACAAAACAGGATGAAATTGAAAATCCTAAGGTTGCAGTGTACAGTAGAGTACTTGGCTATGGGTGATGTTTTTGTACAATGAATAACCCCTGTAATATTACATATATCAACATTTAAAAAAAAACATCAGCACTAAAATTGGCATATACATGATGAAGTGGACTATGTGGGCTTCGTAATTAAAACAAAATCGAATTTGTTTGAGACTACAGTTTTGGGCATTTACAAATCTATGTCTGCACAACAAAAGCTAGGTTTTTATGTAGTCTATTTTTGTACTCAGCACATGTGTAAATATTGTGAAAAATCCACCGGAACGACCCATGCTAAAACATGAGTATTTATGTTACTGAGTAGGCGATATTTAATTTAAGACAGGTTTTAAGAAAAGAATGACTACCTGTGTGGGTCACATTTTTTAAGGTGGTAACCATGGTTTTCACAAGTCCCAAATCTGGGGGAAACACCTTTTGAAAATAATCATTCTTCTAAAATAAAATGTATTCAAAATACAGTTTATAAATATATATATATCAATGTATTATAAAAAGTGATTAAATGTCCATGTGAAGGAAGTAAATATAGAAAAAATAAAATTAACGACCGACTAAAAAACTAGCTGCTTTCACCCTTAACAGGGCTCTTCAGGTTTATTCAAAAGAGAACAACGTCGTGACGTCACAATTACATGTCATCACACTACAATAGTAACGTGACGTCACGAAGTACACAAGATTGGTGGACAATTTGGCGTAAAATTTTATTGTGGCCTGTTGAGACTCGGTTTTAATATTTTTATTAGTTGGTCTTCTTTCGTTTCTCTTAAAATAGTGTCTGATGAAAATAGTTGATACAAAGGTAATACATTAAATTTATCTCCAGCACATTCATGAATATGTTTGTTAACATGAAGATTTCGTAAAGAATCAGTTCTAGTTTGTTGTCTATGTACAGTCATACGTGTTCTGAGTTCATTACCGGTTTGACCGATGNTAACACCAAAAGTATCCAAATGTAAGACACCAAGATGTGCTACATGTCCTATGATTATCGAGTGTAATACTTTTATTTTCAAGAATGGTTTGAAATTTACTGTGAAGGTAAATATGAATTGTAAATCAAAAAATGTAATTTATGCAATCGTTTGTTCTAAATGTGGTGATTTTTACATCGGTCAAACCGGTAATGAACTCAGAACACGTATGACTGTACATAGACAACAAACTAGAACTGATTCTTTACGAAATCTTCATGTTAACAAACATATTCATGAATGTGCTGGAGATAAATTTAATGTATTACCTTTGTATCAACTATTTTCATCAGACACTATTTTAAGAGAAACGAAAGAAGACCAACTAATAAAAATATTAAAACCGAGTCTCAACAGGCCACAATAAAATTTTACGCCAAATTGTCCACCAATCTTGTGTACTTCGTGACGTCACGTTACTATTGTAGTGTGATGACATGTAATTGTGACGTCACGACGTTGTTCTCTTTTGAATAAACCTGAAGAGCCCTGTGAAGGGTGAAAGCAGCTTGTTTTTTAGTCGGTCGTTAATTTTATTTTTTCTATATATCAATGTTTATATATATGTAGGTGTGTTGTGCAGGATAAATCCACTATGCATGTTTATCTGAGACATGCCCTTTATTTTAGGATCCGGCCATTTCTACTGTATTCTGTTTCCTTATACATATAGAAATTTAATTTTTCCGAAAAAATGCCTTTTTGTGCTTGATTCAGCTTCACGTTCATTCATTATTGCTTAAAACTACACAAAAACGTTTAAAAAGTTACATATAAAGATCAATATATAGGTCAATAGTCTGTTACCTGTGGGATGTATAAAGGGGGGTAACTCGCCCTTTTCACAGGCACTTCACAATTCATCACATATGTGTCTATTGTATAATTGGTAAAGTTGATACCAATCAACAAATAATTCACAGGCTATCTCCTGATGCATTCAGACTAGATTTCAGTCTGTTTCACTCAGTTCAGCACCTGGTATCCATGGTTATACTGTACTCTGCTACCTAAGGGGTCGTTTTATCGAACCTTGATGCCATGTAATGTCCAGTTTCTAATGTTGAATTGCGTCACTATATTTCTAGCCTCCTGTGAATTCTAAGGTGTTAATCCATCGACCCCAAATGCCGTTTATTTTCTAGTTTCTAATGTTGTGTTGTAATATTGACAGCCTCCGTTCACCTCCTTATGTACTACATGGACTCCTCAAACGACAACGTGGATATGACTATATATCTGTCAGTTGGAACAATCACATATTCGAAGTCAAAAATGTATCTCACTCTTGGTAAGTTCTTAAAACTTGTTTATAGGGAATGGTGATGTTAATTATTAGTATCGCACAATGTTACTTCATCCTGTTGTCCTTGACATTCATCGAATAGAAACACCTTATAACGATAATTTGGCATTATAAGAGTTAACGAAGGTTGAGAATTAAATGTAAATAATGTAATGTATTCTGTAAGTTAGTAAGTTTTTTTTTAATTTTTATTAGGCAGTTACTTTTTTATACGAATATGATTGTGTCGATTGTATATCGAAATGCTAGACGAAAACATTAATGCTAAGCCAATGCACGTTTGTTCAAACAAACTATTATGGTGAAATGTTGAAAACATATTAGAGGATATACATATTTGTAGTTGTAGATTTCAAGTCACAGAATATATAGCTGCCGTTAGAGTGAAATATGTCAGGTGTACATGTTTAAAATATTAGTATGATCCTTTTTGTTTCTTTTTTTTGCCCAGGTATCTTGACTTCTATCATATTTACTATTATTCTGGTGATCACAATTTTCCTGTGTCAGAGGATAAGTATAGCTATTGGACTGATCAAAGAAGCCAGCAGGTAAGGAATAAACACATCCTATTCTAGATCCGACATATCCAAGTGCACATTGGTTAATAAACAACTCCAAATGCCCGCTCTAAAAATCATTTTAGTTCAACAGAAAAATGAGTTGGAATGTTGTAAGCAATCAATTTTTTTTTTAAATATGAAAATTAATGGAGGATATTTGTTTAAAACGTTTACCGGATTTGTAAAAATGTGATATAATTTGTATTTTCATTTGTTTCAGAGCAATCGGGAAAATAACGTCAGCGCTGGCCTTTCCAATACTTATAATGGTACTCCAAGTAGTGCTTGTTGGCTATTTTATCGTGTTCGCGGCGTATCCTTTCTATATCTGTTAACGACTTTCAGCTGATATATAGTAAGGCGCTAGACAATCAAATAAAAAGCAAATCGGACGACATGTCTGTGTTTTATTAGTGTCCAGTCCTTGCAGTTCACTAACTACTTACTGTTTGACATCCTCGTAACTGCTCAGGACATATCAATACGGGTACCTGGGGAGACACCATTGGATTGGAAAGAAAGATTTTGTATGAGAGACAAGAAAAGTTAGATGACCCAAATATTGTAAGTCAATTTTTTTTTTTCAATGCCCTCTAAGCAGGATACGCTGAAAAAACATCAACACCTTGGTCGCCTCTTCAGTAGAAACAGTAGGGTTATTGTTATGGTTAATGATTCAGAAACCTTTATAGAACTGGTCATTCTGCTGTGCGGCCTTGCATCAATCATGTTCAAATTGTAAATATCCAACGCTAGCGAAGTGGTATTTCCTTAAACAGTTTCTCAGTTATCTTGCCTCGACAGGGCGGACCACGACGTCAATCGTAAATTCGACGTCCACATGGTCTAATGGCCAGTGGAATACCGCCGAGATTGAGTCGCAAGTATCCAGCTTCATTGGGTCGACATGTTCGGTACGTAATGGAACACAACTCAATATGAATTTCCACTAATTTGTTGTATGGTTGTACAATTACAATATCCACACCAAGTTTACGTACAGATAGAGTTTTAGTGTGGTTGTAGGCACTTGATATTACTCCTAAGCTTAGCATAAACACCTACGTTAGGACTGGTTTATTTTACGAACACTTTTAAATCTTAGTTAGCAATACAAGACCCATTAAAACTTATCAAAATAGTTTCAGTGAGACAATATTCAGACACAACCATCACTGAAAAAGTCACAATCTGACAGAATAATCATTTTCAGATAAAAAAAAAAACAAAAAAACATTGTACGTTAGATGGTTTATGACATTGTTGAGGGTTTAGGAAAGTGTTCAACAGTGACCAAGTGAATCCTGGTGAAATATTCACTTCATGCAATTTTACATTGCAGAATGGCACCACCTCTAACGCCTGCGACTACTTGAAGAATGTTGAAGAAAAGTAATGTTTGTCTATATATTTTAAAGTATTGTACCAATACACATGTTTCGAAATTATTAGCATTACCAGTCAATATTAATTCATCAGATCGCTTTGCATAATTGGTGTATACAATTTCATGTTCAGTGGAAATAATATAACATGGCGTAAACGGTTGAATTACATGCTTTTTCTTGTATTGAAGAAAACCTCAATGCAGGCTATATGCATAGTGATACAAAGCTATGAAACACCTACTGTGTTGTACGCTATAATCATATACAGTTGTGCAAACCCGTTGTTAGCTTCAACTCAACAAATAAAGTCAAATCGTATCTGTCCTTCCACTTTCAGCTTCGTGATGTACGCCGCATTATTCGCCCTCTTCATGTTTTTCTGGCTTCTGAACTTCATTATTGCCCTTGGGCAACTATCACTAGCTGGGGCATTCGCGTCCTATTATTGGGCATTCGATAAGACGAAGAATGTCCCAACGTTTCCACTTGCGGCGGCCATGTGGAGAGCAATTAGGTAAATATGGCTTTAACCCTATAGAATGAAGAATCAACAATGTTAGAGATGATCGTAAGAAGCGAAAAATATTATCTAGAATATGAGATGTAAGAAATATTCACTCTCCGGCTCTTCAAATAGCAATGGTTTTGGAACTTTATTATAATAACAACTCATTTAAAGAAAAAATAGAAAAAAAAACTATTTTGCAGTTTGTGTTTATTCGTTTTACTGTTTATAATTATAATTCTAGTTTCCCCGTTCTCGCATATTTTTTTCTTTTTCTGCCAGTTTTTGACGAAATGGCACATAACAATTGACATTGTCTGTAGTATACCTTTAACAAATTACATCTTTTATTGTTTGACTCTGATGATCCTGTTTTGTTGACGGGGCGCTATGAGATATCAGCCATGATACATCTAGATATAATCATATGATGGTTAGCTCAGTAATTCTGGTATAAATATTTCACTGTGCTCAGGATAACCATCGATCTAACACATTACAGTCACGATTATTACACTTTTGGTTGCTGGGTTACAGGTACCACTTGGGATCCCTGGCATTTGGATCCTTTATCCTGGCCGTGGTGGCAATGATCCGGGTTGTTCTAGAATACCTAGATCACAAACTGGGCAAGAGTGAGAACATTGTAGCAAAATTCGTTGTCAAGTAAGTCACTTTTCGTACGATTTGGTCGTACGAACTTAACTTCTAATTAACACATTAAAAAATGGGCATTGACTGATTGTTGGCAGTATTTTACGGTTTGAAAGTTCCCTAAACGTTTTGTGTAAGCAGAAATTTACTTAATCCTTAATATGTATGTGTACTCTCAGCTTGAGCTTTAATAACGCAAACAACCACTCCCATTTAATCCGGATTAAATTCAATATCACGCTACTGATGTTGATTATTTATACATATGTGATTTTTGAATACTTGCAATGACGAGTAAGAGCGCTCTCATTTGTGTTGAAGAAATATCGCGCTGATTCCAATCCTTATAAATCATAGGAAAACATATCACATATCTAATTTTGACAAAAGATTTGAGTTTGAAGATCTTATTGACATCATTTGCCCAAACAAAACAACGGTACGTTACTCCATCCGTCCTCTTGTCTAACACTGATTCTTCGTACAACATATACAAAGGTTAGACGTGTTATTAAACATACTATTGTTTTAATTACAGGTGTCTGAAGTGCTGCTTCTGGTGTTTGGAGAAGTGTCTGAAATTCTTAACAAAGAATGCATATATACAGGTAAACATTAACATATGATAGACTATCTCGTTATAACAAATTTTACACGTTGCAGATTAAAAAGGAGGCAATTAATTATATTAACATAATATATACAAACATGTCTTTGTATTTATATAGTTTACAAAAGTGTAATTTCAAACTGAAATATTTTGAAGTCTGTGACATTTGTATCGTATGGGTAAACTATACAATGTTTATATGTCCGTCTTTGTGGTAGAAAAAAACCCATCTGCAAGGCTCCCGAAAAGTATAAGGTCACATTTTTCAACAGGAAAGAAATATAATTCAACATTTGAACGCTTTTTGTTGTCTAATGTGCTTCTAATGGTTTGTTTCGTTCACCTTTGTAGATGGCTATTCACGGAAAGAACTTTTGTTTCTCTGCAAAGGATGCATTCTTCGCGATCATGAGAAACATTCTCAGGTGATTACTGATGGTTATATACTCAAAAGAGCGGTTATGTTTTTGATATAATCTGTGTGCTTCAGCGAGAACATTCCATTTGATAATAAAGTCAAAATATGTCATGCATGTCTTTCGGTGCTATATCACAATGTTAAACTATAAAACTTTACAATAATGGAATAAATAGTGGTATTTTATAGTTTTATTATTAACAGTATGCAAGCATTATAGCATATTGAGTTATTTAACATTACAAGTATGGTGCATACATTTTCTAGTGGATAGGTTTGACTATTTATCTCTTAGCCAAACACTCGGCATGAACTCATTACATTATTGAATATTATTATAGTTTGTTTTCATAAACTATGTGATTTTATTTCCCCATTGGTTAAGCAACTGAACCTCTAAGCTACATAGTAATAAATTAAAGAACCTCGTTTGGGATTTATGATGTTAATACATACAGCTGAATGCCGAAATAGCTAAAGGATAAATATATCAACGAGTCTGTAAAAGGCTTACCAATAACACACTTTTTGTTTGCTCAACAAATCAATATTTTACATGCATCATAAAACTGTTTACATAAATGATACAGTCAGGATAACCACTGTTTATTATTTGATTTTCACAGAGTTGCCGTTGTGGATAAGGTGTCAGATTTCGTTCTCTTTGTCGGAAAACTAATCATCATTGGACTGGCCGGTTCGTATGTTTTTACATCGTAATCAACAGAATATTTGATAAACAAAATTTAATTGAGATTTCGCATACGTTTTTCAATATAAATCACTTATAGTGTATTGTTTGTAATAGGGTCAATAGAAAAGCACACATTATGATTTCCCATGAACAATTATGTATTCAATGTATTGATAATAATTTATGTAATGTAATCAATATAAAGATGTATATTATTATTTTGGTTGATGTAGATGATATACTAATAATGAATTTGTGTAATGTATTCAGTATAGATATATCAAGTATGATTCTGTATGTATTCAGTATTAGGATATATTTTATAATTCATCTTATAATTGTGTTATGTATGTAATGTAACTAAAAGGAGGTTTACTACCATTGATATTAATCGGTTGTTACAGAGGCGTTGGCGTTTTATGTCTTCAATTATCTGGCCGATGACCTACTGACGGGATACGTTACTACCACCAACACGTTCATCGTCTCCTATTTGGTGAATATTCTTTCGATGTTTTCGCGATATTATAATAATTATACAATTGTTTACATTTAATAAATCTGAACTCATTATCAAAGTTGTTCAAACATCATCAATTGTACATATACTGTACTCTTTCAGTGTGTACCTTGGTTACAAGTCGTTAGTAATATTGTTAAGTACAACGGATTCTCATTAATACAGTGGCTGAAAATGCGATTTCTCTGTAATTCGATGGCTTTGATTCAGGAACTAAAATTCTCATAGTGAAATACGTATTATATATCCCGATAGTGGAGGAACAAACCAAACTATACAGATAAATGAACTTTATTTTACTTCCTTGTTTTTTGTGTCAGTATATCGGTTTGCACTCCGTCCGTCCGTCCATTTCAATTCCTTCCCTCACAAAAGCTTGTCCGGGCTATACTATTTCACATGGAATAACCAGATTTGTTATGCAAGAACATTTTGGAATGGCGGAGTGTCAAGTACAAAAAGCATGTCACTGTGACCTATGGTTTGACTTTTGACTTCAAACCTTTGAAAGAATTGTCGAAGATATACACGTGTCTTCTAAACTATTTCACTTGGGGAAACCAGATTTGTTATGCAAATATGTCCTCTGGATGTCTAGTGCAAAATATAGATCATGGTCACATTTGCTTGAATTTTCACCTTATTCTTTTAAAAAGAAATCATCTCGATTAACCAGATTTGATTTGCAAAGATAACTTGACTGGTGGAGTGCGGGGTAAAAGAAGTATGTCACTGTAAACTATATCTTGAGATAGGTGTACAGCTTGGTAAATAAAGAAATATTTACCAATTGGGGACTATGTTAGGTAAAATGTGTAATGGTGAAAGAAGTTATCTAAATTATTGACTCTTGTCTATAGTCTTTTACTCAAAATATGAGAAATATTTAGGAAGAAATATAATACCTTTTGAAAATATCTCATCCAATAAGTACATAAGTTAGCCTCATATTTTGATAAAAGTTGATTACTTAAGAAAAAATATCCGTTCGGCTACTTTTATTCTTTAATTTCCACTGGACTAAATAACCAAATACATTTAAGAACAGTTTATATTTATCAAAGGGAAACATGTCTGAAAAGGTATTTGGTAGAACGAATTTATATACCTATACCTTACGTTTTGCCTCCCACGAAATTCAAGGCATTACGCTCACTTTTGCAACTTGATTGGTTTCGCGATTCTTTTCGGCGAGGTGGCGCATACGCAGCCATTGACTTCGAGCGTTACAGACAGCGTAAGTGAGAGGAATCCCTGAATTTCGAGGTTGAGGAAAGTGTTAGAACGTTCTGACTGACATGTATGTATAGAATCAGTATTACGTGATGTGCTTTGTTATATTTTTCAGATCATCCTGGTTTGCGCCTTCACCATTTCTTCGTGTTTTTTCGACGTCTTCTCTATGGCCCTTTCCACGCTGTTTATGTGCTTCTGTATGTATATCAATATAAATGTTCAATTAAAGTATGTACTATATATTGAACGTGAAAATCGATGACAACGGGTGTCTTTGAACCATCAGTGACAGTCCATACATGCAATGCCTTCTTTAACTGATATTTTTTTAACACTCCAAAATAATAAAGATAATGACAATTTCTTTTTTTCCCCAATTATTAATTGAAGTGATCATGTGGATGTCAGTGTTAGTACGCGTACATTATTATCATCATAATCATATTGTCAAATAATTAACAATTCAAAGTTTTAATGAATATATTCATTATACATCAGATAGTGAAAATAGCATATGAAGCTATCACCTGGAAGTTACATATGAAAATATTAGTAATTTGACATTACCTTATATCGAATTTTCATTTCATTACAGTGGAGGATATTGAAATGAATGACGGCTCCATTGAGAAACCTTACTTCATGAGTAAAGAGTTAATGAGGGTGCTTGGAGTTAAAAACGTCATTATACAAGACAAGCAGAAGAAAGGAGCTGCTCCCTCAGAAAACTTCTGAATCCAATTTGTGTTTCGATATTTCTGATGCGGAATATTCGTAAAAACATATAACTTATTGTATTTCTGTCAACAATACAGGATGGATGAAGATCATTTGTCATATTATGCAGGACTCCCTTTATCATTTCAATCCATCGCGGAGGAGAGGAGAAATCCTAATTTCATGGGTAGGTCGTTAATGACAACATGAGACAAGTTTATCCTGACACTTTATGTTTATACAGCCAACTAGAACTGTGCATTCATTTTTGTCTCCAATCATTTGTTAACAGAAGCACTATAGACATTTGGGTACTGCAATATTGTTCTGGCCAACAGCAGCCGTCACGGTAACTGCATTAGTAATAAGGAGTGCCCGTATGTAATTGGTAATTGTCATGGCACTTGCTTGTAAAGTGTAAACATGAGTTATTTAGTGAGCAAGTGGAACATGGTTGTATGAATGGGAACCAGTCATACTTAGCTCACCTGTGCTATGTTACATAACAAACGTTATCGGCATTGAATGTTAATTGTGCTAAAATCCAGAGTTTTCCTGAAATGGCTGATATGGGCCACACGAATGCGTGACAAAGCAACTGCTTTAGTAAAGCAATTGTCAGAGAAGCGAATCGACACATTTGATCCTGACAAAAATTATGTTTACTAAAGCAAATGCCATGACTATTACCTACTGAATACGGACAATGCCTTATTACAAACGGCGCCTGCAGCAACTGTCTGTCAAAATAGTAAGCGCTCGTGAGTTAAATATTCTTCTTATCGAAGGAAATGACGCGTCACACGCATGATTTCATAACCATATCAGGTGCTTACAAAAAGAGGTGACTGGCTCGTCATCAAACGTCAATTCAAAATCAAATTGAACGCAGTGTTTTTTCAAAAAATAAGTATAAATCTTCTGTGAATTTAATGAAGTCGTCTTTGAAATCACATTCTATTGGATAATTTGAAAACTGATTGTAATAAAACAAAACTTTGTACATTGATGAAAAAACATTCAAACAGCAAAATATATATCACAGTCATTTTGATATTGAGTTATTTACTGTTATACAATGATACATGCACAGTTTCTTATTTTTTTAGAATTTATTTATTAATTTTATTGTCATTATCAAGTTGAGTATTCCATTTATGTCTTTGCAAATTTCAGTGAGTTCATGACGACTTCACCACTTAAGGTACTGGCAAAGTTAAATAGTTGCACTATAAATAATGTAAAAGTTGTACGGACAAGTCATGGAGAATGTAAACATGCAGGTCTTGTTTCGGGTGAAGTTTGATATATGTATTAAATTGATTCACTTATAACTTACGAGATATGGACATTATTGAAGATTATTCACTTATCCTCATTTTATATATATTTCTCAATAAGACAATGAATCCTCTCCCAAAAGAAAGACGTTTCTTGTTTCTTTCCCTCCTCATTGTTTTTTCATGATTTAATGAACAAACCATCGTAAACAAGTGTCCCACTTTTAGGTTTTCATCATTTACAATTTTTCTGTCTTTTGTCATTGATAATTTGTGAGACATATATGTGTCCTCTCACTAAAGTAGGCAAGCATCGCTCTAAACTGGTACACTATAATGAAGATACTGTTACATGATTTCATTGATTTGTTAATTTTCTCATTACTTTAAATGTAATATTGTTATCTCTGTGATGAAGATTTTGATATTTCGCATGAGTGAAATATATGATAACTATTCAATTCACAGTAAATGATGACACTTATTCAACAAAAGATTATTCTGTTAATTTGTTATATTGGGTTATTTTTCTTTTTAAAGACGTGTGTTTCCATAAACAGGTGGCAAAATTATTAAATAAAAAATAAACAAATGACAATATTTTGCCATCTATATATCATTCATAGACCTGTAGCATGACAATAGATGTTACATTACTTGCTACATAAAGAAAATGTTTGTGATATTTTTGTATAAATCCATTTATTACCCTGAACTATTGCCAAATCATATTTAACGTTGTTATAATTTTGTTTCGTTTCATTTTGAAATGTTGTAAAATAAAGTTTGTCTTCATTTTTATAATCTAAATTTGTATGTTTTCAATTACAGCTGTCGTTTCCTATAATGAGCTTTACTAATGAAGCGACGGTTTAGAAACAACGATGCTCGCGTAGTTGCTATTAGAGGGGTAAAGCATATGTAACTGTATATTTAACAAGTTATTTAATGATTAACTTGAATATATTTTTCATGTTATGGAGATATAACACAAAAAGACGGAGTTTACTCTAAATAAACCGCGAAGCGGTTTATGATGAGAGTACACTCCTTTTTTTTGTTATAGCTCCATAACATGAAAGATATATTCAAGTTAATCCTTATAATTTAATCTACTATACACAATCCCTGTGGAAATCCACTTATATTGATGGACTCTTTTCTCTTAGAAAGTATTGCGCTGCAGTATCAGCAAATCAAAAGCGACGTTACAAACGACGACGTCATTTTCTACGTTATGGGCTGATAACATAAATTTTTAAGCCAATGAAAATGCTTGTTACAAGCAAGATTAAATTACATTAGCTTGATGGCTTTAACATTAAAGTCCGTGTCGGTGTATCGATTAAGGCGTTCTATTTACAGATAAGACATGTGTTAAAAGCAATATGTTGGTGTATTTGATCTTATGGATCTGATACCGACAATGGAGTGCTTCTTCACTGAAATACCATGCCAAAGTCATATATAACAATATTCCGACTGGTTCCAATAACATAATAACACAAATTTTGTTTAGCATAATACAATTTTACAATATGTCTGAATAGTTGAAACGTTTGCTAAAACCTTGATAGTCACAGTGGTCACTTTTAAATAATACCACGGTTCATTATATACACACTTTAGTCGATATTAAATTGAAATTACATAATGTTACCAGTACAATTCTAATTTCTGAAAGTTAATCAACTAACGGGGGTTTCTGCACTTCCCATTCTGTTTCAACAGTAATTAAGACCAATTTTTATAGTGTAAAGCTATAGAGTGCAGAGTAATTCATTTACTTTATAAAATACTGCATCTTTTACAAACAAAGATCAACTACATATGTGTGTTCATCTTTCTTTAACTTTACTGGTCGAAGTGAGTACTGTAACATGTTAAAAATCAGTCGACAAACTATTAAAAATTCCATGTAAATACAGTTTCTCAAATATCTTGCTTGTTTTAGTTAACTTGATGATATAGATTGATTGTTTTCGTAAAGACAACAAAATAGTCCGCCTTGTTAGCAGGCCTGTTACTATTGTACCAACTAATTTAAATGAACTGCTTTCATTTAGAAAATAATTCAGAAAGAAATATCAAATCAATAATCGCCAATGTGGCATCCTGAAAAATACATGTACTTTCAGCGGAATTTTTAGTTTCTTAGCCGTCTTAATTGTAACAAATTTATACGTTTGTATTAACACAGAAAACTATAAATCATCCATTTCAGAATAATTTAGGTTTTATTAACGATAACAACAAGTATGGATTTCCACAGACGTCACGACATAACCATGATATAGCGCGATATCTGAAAAGATACAAAACAATTTATTAGATAAAATTCATTTAACACTAATCGATAATTCAATAATTTCAATTTATGTGTAGTGAAATACAAAAAATTGATAAAGAATTGAAGAAAATAAATGAATATTTTCTTAACAAATCAACGCGATTTCATTCTCCAGGAACATTATAAGTAAGTCTTTAGTTTTAAATCATAAAATATATAAATGACAGTGCAGAAAATGTCCGTAAGACTCAACATGTATACGACACTTACATTTTAAATTGCTTTTGCTTTGACAGACAAAGATGAAAGCGTCATCCTTAATCATTTATCCGAGGAGGCCATTTCCTCCGTTCAGTAGGATAGGGAGAACGAATAGGGCGAACACTGTAAAAGAGAAATCTTTGCATTACATAACAGTATATACATACACCACACGACTAGAACGAATTGCTGACTTAGAGCTATACACGTAATGAGACCAATGTCATTCGGTTTGTTCCACCGCCTGGCTTAAAACAATATCACCGTAAGAAGGAAACATTTAGGAGACATCAGTCTATTAGACCATTAAGGAAACAGACAGGTCAATACAATAAATACAAGGGATACCTATATCTTCATTACTTATAGTTATTAAGAATGTAAATCGAAACCAACATAAGACAGAATCACTAAGATGATATAAGCCTATTAGGACTTGTCAATATAATGATTACAAGGGAACACTTATATCTGTATTACTAATAGTTACTTAGTTATTAAGAATGTATATATTACTTATTGAACAGAGTTTTATAACATTTTGGCCGTTATAGACGCCAGTTCCATATCTAATAGGAAGCATATCGGTTTTCTGGATCTAACCGATGTACGTTCATTCTGGTATGGATGTGAAAAGTGTTCGTAAAATTCCTATTAAGTGGTGGTTTATCCTTGATAATGCAAGAAAATCGATTTGTTTAAAGGAGAGAAAAAGAAAGTAAAACAAACAGCCTGATCGTTAGACAATAAATGAATTCTTTGGTAGTATAGCGCAGATAAGGAGGCAATAATTGGATAAATCAGAAATAGTGAAATTACGAAAAATGATAAATATCAGCGGAAAAGTAACACGAGGCGAAATTAAAACTAAGTCTTGCTCTTTTTTTTATTTTAACAATGTATATCTAAAACACGACATATATCTGGAACATAAATTGATATAAAATATATTTTCATTTAATTGTATATGGGTAATTTGGTAGAATATACTTACAGAGAAGACCGATCTCTTCATTTCCGGTTCCGGTTCCAAATAGGCCATTGGTTGACTGTTGTGCAGGTGGGAAGGGCATTGGCATTGGCATAGGCATAGGCGCCATTGGGGCACGAATGATGGTCTCTTCGGTATAGCTCTGTCCGTAGCCCTTTCCGTATCCCTTTCCGTAACCATGTCCCATTCCCTTTCCGTATCCACCGTATCCATGTCCCATTCCCTTTCCGTATCCACTGTATCCACCGACATATCCGGTGCTGTATTGTGGATATTGCATGGTCTGATAACCGAAGTCATCAAAATCATCGGCAAGACACGCGGTCAGGCCGAGGCATAAAAAGGCAGCAATCAGTGTGGCGGCGACGCTCTTCATCTTGTCCCTAAAACAGAAATGAACTAGATAAGTAACATCCGAATTATTTCATTGTTAGGGTAACACAATCTCTTTGTCATGTCAAGTACATATGTAATACAATATCTAGAACATTTGCTTTGTATTCATTTGACATACATTTATATCAAAAGCGTCTATTACTCATTTGAGAACCTTGTTTCAAACAAAATATGTATAACATCCTTTAAAGCCTTGAAAGTAAATTTTAAAACTCAGAAACAAATTTTAAAATACATACACAGAATGAATTAAGTAGTTGATTTAGCAAATTTCGGTTATGTCTAACTAAGTTTTACAATACAATTTTGAAATTTAAAAAAACACACCATTAATTCATATACTTTCTGACAAAAAGTGAGCATTAGGTTAATCCATTCAAAAATATTACAATTGTATTTGAAAAAGAAATCTTACAAAATATTATAGCTGAGCGGTTAAGCATCGAACGATTTAAAGTTATTCAATTGATAAGACAGCCTACTTCAATTATTACTCTAAACTCTTGGTATGTACTTACTGTCAGTTGTATGATTCCAAATGAATACTTTCACTTAGAGATCCACGCTTTTTATACCTTCAATAATCGACATAATAGCCGCCATGTTTAACACGATCTAGCCAACATGGTACCGACTTCCGTGTAAAATTGTCCACGCCCCTGGTCATATGTGCTCGTCTATACCTATCTCCTGTGTCGGACGGGTTAAAAACGTAAACGTAGGTCTATCCTCATTCCAATCTGGCATTACAGCCTATTACCGCGAATCGTGATTACCGGTATAATAGTTACAGGTACAGTTGCACCTTATCACAGATAACATCTTTAATCGCCCGGGGACGTTCGTCATATTGACCAACTGCATTTACTACTGGGTAAGTAATACAGCTTATCGTTATTACGGCAGTCTGACATGTTTTGGCTATTTAATTTTTTNGTCATATGTGCTCGTCTATACCTATCTCCTGTGTCGGACGGGTTAAAAACGTAAACGTAGGTCTATCCTCATTCCAATCTGGCATTACAGCCTATTACCGCGAATCGTGATTACCGGTATAATAGTTACAGGTACAGTTGCACCTTATCACAGATAACATCTTTAATCGCCCGGGGACGTTCGTCATATTGACCAACTGCATTTACTACTGGGTAAGTAATACAGCTTATCGTTATTACGGCAGTCTGACATGTTTTGGCTATTTAATTATTATTTTTACCGTATGCACCATCACATATGATTTCATACTTTGATTTAAACTAGAACTGTGCATTCATTTTTGTCTCCAATCATTTGTTAACAGAATCATTATAGACATTTGTGTACTGCAATGTTGTTCTAGCCAACATCAGCCGTCACGGAAACTGCATTAGTAATAAGGAGTGCCAGTATGTAATCTGTAAGTGTCATGGCACTTGTTTGTAAATTGTAACCATGTTTTTTTAGTGATCAAGTGGAACATGGTTGCATGAATGGGAACCAATCATACCTAGCTCACCTGTATAAGTTACATAACAAACGTTATCGGCATTGAATGTTAATTGTGCCGAAATCCAGAGTTTTTCTGAAATGGCTTATATGGGCCATGCGAATGCGTGACAAAGCAACTGCTTTAGTAAAGCAATTGTAAGAGAAGCGAATCGATATTTGATCCTGACAAAAATATGTTTACTAAGGCAAATACCATGATTATTACCTACTGAATACGGACAATGCCTTATTATAACGGCGACTGCAGCAACTGTCTGTCAAAATAGTAAGCGCTCGTGAGTTAAACACTTTTCTTATTGAAGGAAATGACGCGTCACACGCATGCTTTTATAAACCTTATTCAGATGCTTCCAGAAATAGGTGACTGTTCGCGTCATCAAACGTCAATTTAAAACCAAATTGAACACAGGAAATGAAATCTAAAGTTCATCGTCATGACAATTTTTATTTTGAATTGCATAACATGTTTTCCCAAAATATAAGTATAAATCTTCTGAGATATTAATGAAGTCGTCTTTGAAATCACATTCTATTCGATAGTTTTATTGCCATTATCAAGTTGAATATTCCATTTTATTCTTTGTAAATTACAGTAAGTTCATGACAACGTCACCACTTCAGGTACTGGCAAAGTTAAATAGTGGTACTATAAATAATGGTAAAGATGTACATAAAAATCACGGAGAATGTAAAATAAATAAACAAATGAGAATAAATTTCGCCATCTATATTTCATTCATAGACCTTTAGCATGACAATAGATGTTACATTACTTGCTACATAAAGAAAATGTTTGTGATATTTTTGTATAAATCCATTTATTACCCTGAACTATTGCCAAATCATATTTAACGTTGTTATGAATTTGTTTCGTTTCATTTTGAAATGTTGTAAAGTAAAGTTTGTTTTCATTTTTATAATCCAAATTTGTATGTTTTCAATTACAGCTGTCGTTTCCTATAATGAGCTTTACTAGTGAGGCGACTGTTGAGAAACAACGATGCTCGAGTAGTTGCTATTAGAGGGGTAAAGCATATGTAACTGTATATTTAACAAGTTATATTAGCTTGGTGGCTTTAACATTAAAGTCCGAGTCGGTTTATAGATTAAGGCGTTCTTTTTACAGATAACCAATGTGTAAAATTAATTTGTTGGTGTATTTGATCTTATGGATCTAATGCCGACTGTGGAGTGCTTCTTCACTGAAATACCATGCCGAAGACATATATCAAAATATCCCAACTGGTTCCAATAACATGATAACACTAATTTTGTTTAGTATAATACAATTTTACAATAGTCATAGTTCTGAATAGTTAAAACGTTTGCAATAAACTTGATAGTCACAGTGATCTCTTTTAAATAATACCACGGTTCATTATATACACAATTTAGTCGATATTAAATTGAAATTACATAATGTAACCAGTACAACTCTAATTTCTGAAAATTAATCAACTAAATGGTGTTTATGCACTTCCCATTTTGTTTCAATAGTAATTAAGACCAATTTGTATAGTTAAAAGTTGTATAGTGCAGAGTAATTCCTTTACTTTATGAAATACTGCATCTTTTACAAACAAAGACCAACTACATATGTGTGTTCATCTTTCTTTAACGTTACTGGTCGAAGTGAGTACTGTAACATGTTAACAATCAGTCGACAAGCTATTAAAAATCCTCTGTGAATAATTAATAGATGTTTCCATGTAAATACAGTTTCTCAAATATCTTGCTTGTTTTAGTTAACATGATGATATAGATTGATTGTTTTCGTAAAGACAACAAAACAGTCCGCCTTGTTAGCAGGCCTGTTACTATTGTACCAACTAATTAAAATGAACTGCTTTCATTTAGAAAATAATTCAGAAAGAAATATCAAATCAATATTCGCCAATGAAACATCCTGAAAAGTACATGTACTTTCAGCGGAATTTTTAGTTTCTTCATTGTTTTAATTGTAAAACATGTGTACGTTTGTATTAACACAGAAAACTATAAACCAATCATTTCAGAATAATTTAGTTTTATTAACGATAACACGAGTTTGGATTTTCACAGACGTCACCACATAACCTTGATATTGGGCGATATCTGGAAAGAGAATACAATATTTATAAGATATAATTCACTTAACAGTAATCGTTAATTCAATAATTTCAATTTATGTCTGGTGAAATACAAAAAAAATAAGACAATACATTGAAGAAAATAAATGACTTTTTTCTAAACAATTCAACGCCATTTTCTCTCCAGGAACATTATAAATACGTCTTTAGTTTTTAATCATAAAATATATAAATGACAGTGCAGAAAATGTCCTTAATACCCAACATGTATACGACACTTACATGTTACATTGATTTTGCTTTGACAAACATTATTTATCATTTATCCGAGGTGGCCGGTACTTCCATTCAGTAGGAGAGGGAGAACGAATAGGGCGAACACTGACAATGAGAAGTCGTTGTATCACACAACAGTACACGACTAGAAGGAAATGCTGGCATAGAGCTATAAACATAATGAGACCAATATTATTTGGTTTGTTCCACCGCCTGGCATAAAACAAGATCATGTAAACATGCAGGTCTTGATATCGGGTGAAGTTTGATATATGTATGAAATTGAATCACTTATAACTTACGAGATATTAACATTATTGAAGATTATTCACTTATCCTCATTTTATATATATTTCTCAATATGACAATGAATCTTCTCCCAAAAGAAAGACGTTTCTTGTTTCTTTTCCCCCTCACTGTTTTTTCATGATTTAATGTACAAAGCATTGTAAACAAGTGTCCCACTTTTAGGTTTACATCACTTACAATGTTTCCGTCTTTTGCCATTGATAATTTGTGAGGCATATATGTGTCCTTTCACTAAAGTAGGCAAGCATAGTTCTAAACTTGTACACTATAATGAAGATACTGTTACATGATTTCATAGATTTGTTTATTTTCTCATTACTTTAAATGTAATATTGTTATCTCTGTGATGAAGATTTTGATATTTCGCATGAGTGAAATATATGATAACTATTCAATTCACAGTAAATGATGACACTTATTCAACAAAAGATTATTCTTTTAATTGGTTTTATTGGGTTATTTTTCTTTTTAAAGGCGTGTGTTTACATAAACAGGTGACAAAAATTTTAAAAATAAATAAACAAATGACAATATTTTGCCATCTATATATCATTCATAGACCTGTAGCATGACAATAGATGTTACATTACTTGCTACATAAAGAAAATGTTTGTGATATTTTTGTATAAATCCATTTATTACCCTGAACTATTGCCAAATCATATTTAACGTTGTTATAATTTTGTTTCGTTTCATTTTGAAATGTTGTAAAATAAAGTTTGTCTTCATTTTTATTATCCAAATTTGTATGTTTTCAATTACAGCTGTCGTTTCCTATGATGAGCTTTACTAAGGAGGCGACTGTTGAGAAACAACGATGCTCGCGTAGTTGCTATTAGAGGGGTAAAACATATGTAACTGTATATTTAACAAGTTATATAAGCTTGGTGGCTTAAGCATCAAATTGCGAATCGGTTTATAGATTAAGGCGTTCTATTTACAAATACGACATGTGTAAAAAGTAATTTGTTGGTGTATTTGATCTTATGGATCTGATGCCGACTGTGGAGTGCTTCTTCACTGAAATACCATGCCGAAGTCATATATAACAATATTCTAACTGTTTCCAATACCATAATAACAGTAATTTTGTTTAGCATAATACAATTTTACAATAGTTAAAGTTCTGAATAGTTAAAACGTTTGCAATAACCTTGATAGTCACAGTGATCACTTTTAAACAATACCACGGTTCATTATATACACAATTTAGTCGATATTAAATTGAAATTACATAATGTAACCAGTACAACTCTAATTTCTGAAAATTAATCAACTACAGGGGGTGTATGCACTTCCCATTCTGTTTCAACAGTAATTAAGACCAATTTGTATAGTGTATAGTTGTATAGTGCAGAGTAATTCCTTTACTTTATGAAATACTGCATCTTTTACAAACAAAGAGCAACTACATATCTGTGGTCGTCTTTCTGTAACTTTACTGGTCGAAGTGAGT